ACCTTTTCCCAGATGCCATTTGGTGACCACACACGGGGAGATGAGGTGTATGTGCTCAGACCTGCAGATGGATCTACTGCTGCAGAGCACATTAATTGCAGCTGAACCTTTCATCTCAGCAGCTGTTTGCTGCTACCTCTGGTGCTGTGCGTGCCTGGCTGCCAGGGTTTTGGTGGGAAAGGTTGCTGTTAAATAAAGACACAAGAAAGGGAGTTTTTTTTGCAAGACCTGTAGTTTAAGTCTCTATCCTGACATGAGCAGGAAATACATGTGTGTCCTGATTTAGTGACACTATGTCAGAAATACGCGGTGTAGAATTTAGGTTGTAAGTTCTGCTCTTCAGCCACGCACGCTGTGCTGCGATGGTCCGAGCGCCTCGTTCTCGCCAAACAGAAGATGGCAGCATTAAAGATGTAATGCTGTGGCATCGCGTGATGAGGCTTTGTCGTGCACTGAGAAACGTCATGCGGTGTAAACATCCTCTGTCATCAGGCTCAGTTTACAGTGCAATTAGAAGGCTGATAGCGTCCTGGTAGGCAGTTTTAACCCAGGGCATTTGGACACCAGTGACAAAGGTGGGACGGGGCTGCACTCATTCCAGAAAAGTAAAGTTTGCTGGTGCAGTCAAGTAATAAGATAATGTGAGAGTAGATCTTGATGATAGTTGTAAATAAAAGTGGGTAAACTCTCTTTTTGTGCTGTATCATCCAAATTAGAAGCTACTAATTAGTGTTTATCCTCACTTAAACTGCTAATCAGCAAGGTTATGTTCTCCTAGAGACTTTTAAGCTGTTCTCTGAGGTTCTGATGAGCTGGAGTTCGCTTGCAGGGTGGGCATGGGCACTGCTCATGGCTGTGCTGCTGCCTTGCTGTGACAACAAAGTTAGTCAGACCGCTCCCTGGGCTCTGTTTGCCCTTTTGACTTTTACATGTTTATCAGTTAAGGCTGCAAAGAAGGGGTTTCATTTTAATCTGTATTTGTGCAGCACCTTACACAGAGGAATTGGGTTTTAGGAGCAAAGAGCGTGCAGTACAGTGCAGAGCTGCTACCATGGTGTGAGGGTGATAAAGCTGTCATGTGGAGGCTGAGGGGACACTGACACTGGTGCCCATCTTACGTCTGTGCAGCTTATGATCTTAAACTGCAACTGGAATCTCTCCAGTGCTGGGCTGGCAGAGCCCCAGCTCCACTGCACCCCATCAGTGCCCTGTTGGTCTGGATTTGGAGCCATACCAGCACGACTGAGTCAATAAATGGTGTAAGAACTTCAATCAGTGTGTCAGTGAATGTTCTGGCAAAGGCACTGCTGTACAGGTGCACAGGGCTGTGCAATATTTTTGCTATCCAAAATAGCAGTGAGCTTTGGTAGCAGTATAACTATTTCTGTGTATGGGAAGAAGAGATGAGTTGGCCAGGTCCATTCTGCCATTCTGCCAGTCTAATACACAAAATACCCACAGTTAATTCCCTTACAGAACTAAGCTGAGGGAAGCTCACATGCTTGACAGGTGTAACAGAAAAAAAGCAATTGTGACCTCACCTTTTCTTTTCCTTTCCCTTCTTGCTGAGCTGGGAAGAAGTATTTTTTCCTCTTGCCCTCTCTTTCAGGTTTTTTTTTTTTTTTGTTATTTTTTGTTATTTTTTTTAGCCTGCTTTTCCTGTCCTACCACATACTCTCAAAAGAGCTTGGCATTTTTCCCTGTCCTTTGCAGCTTAGGAATGTTTTCTTCTTGTTTCTCAATTTCTGTTAGTGCTGCAAGTAAGGCAGAAGTGACTTCTGTGTTTCACTGTTGCTTTTAATTCACGTGATGATATTTAGGAAATTTGTGGAGCTGCAGTGCTGCAAGACTGAGTGAAAAAGACCACATCTGCAATGTAGGTTAATGAGTGCCCAGCTCTCTGTAGGGTCAGGTCCATGTTGAGGGCTACAGTGGCTACTGGTGGCCAGCAGCATAGGTTTACTGTGTAATACTGTGCTTCAGTTTCAGTTATCCCATGATGACTGGACTATCTGGCGTAAAAATTCCAGTATGAATATTCTGTGTCCAACCTCTGATTTCTCTAAATTATAATCCATTTTTCTGTGATTACCATTAAGATAATTAGTTCATTTGCTTTCTCTCAGATTTAACACAGGGAGAAATTGGAAAGCGCAAAATACAGAAAAAAATCCATGGTTTAATCCAACAGAGAGAGTTTCTTTGCGTTTTGAAATCTCTACAGTACATTTCAGATGAGATAATAAGGTAAGTGTCATGGAAAGAATACAGAGCTACCATTCGTTTATCAAATGAAAATAAATACGGACTGTTTTCCTACGCTTGGAACTTGGGGGATTTTAGTGGCCTGTAATGCCCTCTAATGGACAAACCTGTTGGAGCAACGTCCTGCTGGGAGGTGAAAGGCAGCATCTCGATGGGGCGAGAACTGGCAGCACTGCCGGACAGGCTGTGCAGCTTTCGTTGGGAGCCTGCCAGCTCTTAGATGAAAACCCGTGTTTGCTGAGTTTGTAGCTTAGAAACATCGTCACTTTTTACCAAAATCTTGGCAGATCCTCTTCTTCCTGCCTTTCTTCCACATTTAACTGAAGTTTGTTTAACAAACTGCACTTAAAAGGAGTAGGAAAATACTTTTGCCATTGGCCCCAGAGTTGGCCCGTTTCCTCTAGAATGACACCCTCTCCATCAGGAACTGAGTTCAGATGTGACTTACAGGGGAAGGCAGATCTGGCCAGGTGTTTTCTCTGTGTGCCTTGGTTTGCTCACCTGATTCCCCATCCTCTCACTTGGGCAAAAAGCAGAAGTGCCGGAATGCCTCCAAGGAAGTGATTCAAGGGGCATTTCTTGACTTAACTACAATCGTGACTGTCTGGAACTATTCCCACATAGACAGATCCGCAGCTCTTGCTTTGCTGCTTGGCGCTTTAGGTTTTATGAGGCCAAAGCCTGTGCTGAGAGGCGGCAGAGGATGAAGTGGAGACTCTCCTCCTATGTGTGACCCTATCACCACCATCACTTTTGACAGACAGAAAAGGAAATTTTTAGTGAGGAAAAACCATCGACATTCACTTTAAAGCCTGACAAAACAGTGGGGTACTTTTGTGGATGAGTTAGGCTCTAATTTCTTATTTGAGTTTACATACAAGCTTAGGAAAGTGTATTAAACTACAGTGTCTCAAAAAAAAACCCTTACCAAAATAATCAAGAAGCACCAGAATGCCAAAAGCTGCTGAGAAATGGTACACAACTCAGACTCTATCTGGATCTAAGGACCTTGCAATGATTTCAAACAATTTGTACCTAGCAGTCATAACTTGCCACGTGTCTGCCCGCTGGAAGACAAAATCATGCTGCTTTTTGTGTGTCCAGCAAAGTCCTACACCAAAATAAACAGTAGAGCTGCTGTGCTTTCTTCTAGGATAGGGATTTTTAGGATAATGTGATTTGGAGCACTTTGCACTGAATCTAGGAAGGAAAGGAAAAAAAAAATAAAAGGAAGCTGAACACTGTGGAAGAGCGATTGTGACCAAATACTGGCTGGAAATTTCCAAAGAGTTTGAGGGAAGCACTGAGGATTTCCAGCATCACCAGCCAGCCTCTGAAACACCCCTCCCCCTAAGATCTGGGAAGCCTGCAACAAGTCGTGTTTGCTTTTAGGGAACAGATTTGCTTTGGGAAAAACACCCTGAGAAACAGGAAGAAGCACTGTTTGTTTGGTTTAGTTGATTCTGAGGGGAAGAAGTCTTTTTCTACTGAAGTCGAAAGTTCCCAAGATGCCTCCATCTCATATAATCTTATCACCCCTGATTTTTTTTGTCTTTTCAAGATATGTTTTTCACGAGTATCAGTCAGCTGAAACCTTTCTGCCCCCCTCCCCTCTGATTAGTTCTTCTTATTTTGATTTCGGCAGGGTGCAGAGATCCCTATGAAGATTGTGGCTGAGTTGCCTCAGGTGAATGTCATTCCTTGCTCATTGCTATGGGACACTTTGATACTCAGCAAGGATGCACACATGTCACGTCGGTTTGTTTTGGATATAAATATATATAACAAATACAGCAAAAGTATTTTCTAGAACATAATTCAACCTTTAGTTTTAAACATCTTTTTGGGATATGCCGGTGCTGACGGCTGTGATGCAGTCTGATGCAAAGGAATCAATCGCGCGCTTTGTGGCACGCGGCAGTGCGCGATGCAGGACCCGTCGGTGAAGGCGGCCCCGTGCCTGGGGGTGAGGCAGCCCGGCTCGGAGCCTCTCCGCCCCCCGCCTCGCTTTGTGCCGTTTGTTGGTTTTGAAAACCTGTTTTGAGATTTTCTTCCGCTTTGGCCAAATGGAAAATAAGACGCTTCTTTGCTTCAGCACCTAGATTTCAGTTTTCATTTTTCAGCACGTTCACTCCTCGGTTCTTCTCTACACGTTGGCCCATTTTAACTCTCACTCGGGAGGTCCCACCTCAGTTAGTGATTTATTTGTGCCGCCAGATCCGGCACTGAGTGCCGCCGCGGAACCGCCGGGAGCGAGCGGCGCGCAATGACAGCGTGTGCAGCGAGGGATGGTGCCATGCCTGGAGCCGTCACTCCGAGATCAGCTGATTCTCTAAAGAACCTTTCTTCGCTCTTCAGAACACTGCCAGCTACGCGCTCCAGCCCGCACCTAACAGCCGAGCAGAAGCACCGAGCCGCACAGCCCGTCCGCACCACGCTGAGGGCGCGGCCGCCACCGCCCCGCCCTCAGCTCTCTGCCGGCCCGATGCACAGCGCAGGCGCGCTCTGGGCGCAGGCGCGGAGGTTCCGGGGCCGCGCAGGCGCCGCCCGCCGCCGCCGTGTCTCGGCGCTCCCCCTGGCGCGGCGGCCGAGGCGCTGCCGCTCGGGCGGGCGGGGGCGGCCCGGGCTCCCGCTTCCGGTGTGGTGTCATGGCGGGCCCTGCGCGCTGATGGCTGTGGGGAGCTGAGGGTCCAGGAGCGTCAGGGATACGCGGAGCTCCCCTCGCTCCGCTGCTCTGTCGCCGCCGCCCCCCCCCCCCCCGCGGGGATCCGCCCCCCGCCGCGGCCGGGCGGGCGGGGGGACATGGCGGCCCACAAGCCGGTGGAGTGGGTGCAGGCCGTGGTGAACCGCTTCGACGAGCAGGTAGAGGGGGCGGCCCGGGGGGCGGCGGCGCGGGAGTCGGGGGGCCTGGAGTGTAAGAACGGCGGGGGAGGGCCTCGGGCCCGGGGCGGGGGGCGGCTGGGGGGAGCGCTGCCCGCCGCCGAGGCCCTTCTGCTCGGCCCCGGCTCTCCCGGCGGCGATGGAGCGCGGCCCGGCGCCCCTGGTGCGGGTCCGCGGGGCCGGGTGGAGCCGTGCCGGGAGCCGAGCGGTGCTCCGGGCCTGGCCTCGGCCTGGGGCAGCCTCAGCCGCTGCCCGCGGAGAGCCGGCGGGGCCGAGGTGCCCGCTTCTGCCTCGGCTCCGCTCTCACCGCTCCCAGAAACGAGCTCGTCTTTTGTGGATGTCATCGGGGATTCTGAGTTTTCCGCCTTCTTGCTCGCCAGAAAGGAGTAAAGCCTCAAAAACGAGCGTAAGGAGAATGGCTGGAGAGCTGCTCAGGCAATTCTGCCTTCTTCCCTGTCGCTTAATGGTGAATGTTGGTGTGAAATTTCACCCCCGGTGCTGGGAGCTAGCTGTTCTGCGGGACGGAGCGGCTCCTCAAGCTGCAGCAGTGACGGATATTTGCTTCTGTTTATGAAAGCCAGTGCTGGCAGCTGGGAGAAGGGTTTTCTGAATGGAAGAAGGAGAGATTTGTGGGCCTTGGACTTTGTGTCTGTGATCCACACGAAGAAACCGCTTACTGGGATTAGGTGGCGTGACTTCCCAGCGAGGCTAAGCCTGCTGCTTAAGCTTGGCGTTTTTACTCCCAGGATGCTTTCCTGACGCGTAAGTGGGAGCTGGGTTGAGTCTGAGTGGTCGGTTTCTGTTGTGTCTCATTTGGCTGTGCCGTGAGCGCGTCCCTCGTGGCGCCAAAGGCATTTCTCTGAGGGCTCAGCCCAGCGCTGGGCCAAAGCACGGGGCTGGTTCCGAGTCCTGGGTTTTGTTCACCTGCCTGAGCCATGTGTCCCTGATGGTGACTCTTGGCTTTGGACAACCTGCAGGGAGATGGCAGCTGAGCTGCGTGGAAGTAAGCTGCTCTGTTTTACATTTATGTCAAAACTGCTCTGAATGAAATTTATTTAAGGAAAAAAAGTTTTGCCTATTGACTTTAAAATGATACAGATTTTTTATGTATGTTTTAGGCACAGTAGTTGCTTGGCCAATGTATCCCCCCACACACCGCCTTATCTTGAATCATAGATCATTTTCTCCATAGGCTTTAAAGGCACGGTACTGATTATTTTCCCAGTATTGCTAGAATATGTTTTTGTGTACTGGTGTTAAAAGACCCAAGGCTTTGTCGTTTGCTTTGTTATGTATATTGTGGAACCGGGCTTGCCAACATCTGTTAAGAGTTAAGAACTTGAGCTTTTTAAACAGAAGTATTTTTCTGCACATTTTATGGAATAATTGCAGAAAGGTATGTGGGAGGAATCCTCTCCTGACAGGAAGGAAGCTGCTCTGGTTTTTGAGATGCCATAATATTGGAGTTGCAGGGACAGTCTACATCGAATGCAGTTTTGACTGTAGAGGTTGTTGGTATTGATGGTGGGCTCTATTTGCAATATTTTAATCAGTTTATTGAGTGCTTCTCTTTAACCAGTGCAATTTTTTTTTTTTAGTGCTGTGTCAACTGGGAATGAAGCAGTGAGACAAGCATGAGATATTAATGCCTACTTTTAATCAGAAGTTTTCACATTCATTAATCTCAGCTCAGGGGTCTCAATTTGGTTTCCTTTTAACGTGTAGTTTCCTCTGCCTCGCCTGGCAGTGATCTTCAGGGTGGAAAGGTGTCTGTTCTCAAAAGAATCCTCAAAGGGCAGCTTTCTGCTGCTAAGTGAATTCTGAGTCAATGGTGGTACTTCCATGCTTCTTGTAGCTGCTTACCTCTGTGTCATTACTGGGTAACCATGTGCTTGTTAAGCTATCGACTTGTTATGTCTTTGGTCACTCATTTGAAAATTGAGTCTGTAGTTAATCAAAATGTGCTGAATATAGCGCGTGTCGTTTTAGTGATGATGATGCATTTTTGAGCCTTTGCATTCTGTGTCTGCCCTGCTGCATGCAGGACCTTTTGATTCAGCATTGAGGGAGCCAGGATGCCGTCTGATGTTATCGTCCAATTTGAGTGGGGAAGGGGAGTTGTGTTTGTTTTGAGTTGAGAGTTGTTCTGTTTTGTTTTCTGCGGGGGAGAGGACGAATGTTTTCAAGGTTTATTCCTTCTTTCACAGAGGAAGAAAATGTATCCATCTCTCACCAAAACTTACAGACAATCTTTTCATTCATTTTAAGGCAGATGAACAACAAACTGAGAGAATGCTAATCGTACTGAGAACAACCAAAATCAGTGCGAACCAGTTTGTTCTTGTCTACTCTTGTTTATTGTTATAAGCGATGCTTTAACCAAAATCTGCTTTTGTGTGCGTGATTCTCTGGGCCTGAAATGAATGGCAAGCACAGTTTTATGAATTAACCGAGGGCTGACTGACTGAATGCATTTTTCCAAGCTAGTGCCAGTTTTGCCCATCTGCGCTCAATTCTGACACTTCAGCTGCTGCAGCACTGTGTTGAGCCACCCTTGAAGACTGCTTGAAGGTTTCAGCTGGTGCAGAAAGAAGCAATTGACTGTACATGTGAGATTAGAGCCCATTTCTTGTACGTTGCATTCAGAATCACTTAAGGTGTTCATATATAGTAGTTATGAATACATTTTTCAAAACTTTCAGTGGTCTGGATGGAATTAGAGTGCTGTAGCACCAAGAGGCTGGGCTGTGTTTTAGTGAAGTTCTCTTATTTCAGACGTATCCAGGAATTTGCAAAATAAAACGGTCCCTTTTCTCCTTTGGAAGTGTTCGCGTTCAGTTTTATGTACTGCAATTTTATAGTGTTTTTTAATGTGTTACAACTGAAGTCATGGGAAGGCTGATGCAGTGGTGAAATCACAGAAATGGCTCTTCTACACTTAGCAAAGAAACCTCAGTGCCTAACCCAGTTAAATCTAGGCTGTTTTAAAGACTGTCAGATAGAATGAAAATATTAATCCAGTATAAACATGTGGCAACTTAAACCATTATGACATACTGTAACGGAAGAAGCCCCTTACGGTTTAGGTTTTCGTTTAGTCTCCCCATGAGTAGTTTGAGATATGATTACTTTCAGTTAAGAAAGCTTGTATAAAAACTGAATGCCATTAGGAATGTTCCCCTAACTTTCATTACAAGGCATTGTGTTAAAGCAGATCTTCCCTCCTCCTGTTGCTTCTCTCTGTGGCATTTGGCATCTGTACAGGATTGCAGACCCAAAGAGGTGCTCGCTGCAAGCACTGGCTTTGTGTTCATCATTCTTTTTCGTCTGAGCTTGTTAAGAAACCACTAGTAGTGATAAATTTGTATTTTAAGGAATTCCAAAGTACTTTGTGTAAGTTCCGATGGCTCTGGTGCTCAGGCACAGCACAGTCCTTTGCTGCAAGGAGGACCAGGCTATGCAGAAGGTGAATTTTTTTTTTGTGCAACTAGTCTGAAAAAAAATTTCAGAGGAGCTGAGAAGCAAAGCAGGCTTCTGGGCTGGAGCACAGAGGTGCTATTTCCATATGTCTCCCTAACATCAACCTGAAGCAGCTTTGGTCTTACTTTCCGAACCAGTGTATGTAAAGTATTGCTACAGAGCTGCTGTTCTGTGTGCAGAGTGACCTGCAGAACAGACACAGGAATTGTCCACGGGCAGCAGGTGTTACTGAGTCCATTCATCAGCTGATGAAAAGCAGCAGGATGGTTTGATGATCATTCCTTGTTGAAGTAGGGAAATAGGCGTTTGTTGATGGTGCCGACCTTTAGGTAACTGTTTGAAAGCGTAATTTTGTTACTATTTTTTTTTTTAAGGGCAATGTCTATAATCTATTTTCAAAGTTCCCTGTTCTTTAGAAGGCTGCGTTATGAGGCACTTCCACTGAATTAAGGCTGTCAGAAGGTGGTGCAGTGCGTGCTTATAGTTTCAGAGGGAGATGCCTGTTGATCCTTAACTGGTGATGCTGAGGAAGTAGTGGTGCTGTGTGTATTTTCAGTCTGTGATACAGCTGTGTATTACAGCCTAATGAAAAAGTTCCAATAAACTGTTTGAAATGGAAGATGTAGGTATATTTTTATGCTGTTAAGAATGACAGTGGAGGCTTTTGTTCAGGATGTTATGTTTGTTATTTGCTCCCGATTGGCTTTTCTAGTGTCAGCAGTATTTGGAACACAAGATTACTGCTGTCCTGGATTCAGGATGCACAGGGGCTTGTATTCTTACTGCAAATGTCAGGCTCAGTATTTAATGGCTTTTCCTCAGCTGTGGCAGCAAGATTCTGTTTCAGCTCATCTTAAAATATTTAGAACATGATAGCTGGAAATATTCCAGATTCAGTCTGTGCATTTTTTTTTCTTTGCCAGCTTCAAGAAGGAAAGCCAATTGTGGACCAAAATGCCATTGTTCCCTGTCCTTTTTAGATGGTTTGACACCTAAACCTGGCTTAGTCCAAATGGTAAGAGGGAGGGAGGTTTATCACAGCACACCTCTGCGTGGGCTGTGCGTCCCAGTGTGCTTCACGAGGCTGCTGACCATTGCTTCCTACTTTGCTGGTGAGAGCAGTTGGATGAGAGCACAGTGACCATCCCTGTCCCCACCTGCGACGAGTTCAACGTGATGCCTGTGTTCATGCTTGGAAACTCCTGTTATGCAGCAGTCTCGTGCTTTATTTTCTGACTCAAACAAAGGCTGTGCAGGTAATCCATTTTCGGTCTGTATTTTTCCTAAAATAAAACTTAAAGTAAAGATTCAACTTTTTTTGTAAGGTTTGGATTGGATTTTGGTGGAGAGGCTGAGCAGTTTCTAGTTGGTCGCTCAGCACTGCGTTTCATCTGGGTGCAGAGTGCTCCGGCTTGTCAGAAAGCACGAAGGAAATAGCTGAGGAATCTAAAAAAAATTCAGTGCTAATATTTCCTTTTAATGTAGCTTCCTTTTTCAGAAGGCAGTATAAAAAGCAGCTTTACTTCTAGGTGACCTTGCTGCAGTGGCTGTTGTGGCAGGAAGCTCCAGAAGCGTGTAACGCAATGTTTCCATTGCATGGCAGCACAGGAGCTGGGTCTGACACTTGGAGAGGCACTTCTGAGCGTTCTGTCGCTCGTGGTATTGAGCCTTTCTGCCGTTGTCAGCACAGACTTCAGAATTCTGATAAAAGTACGAGTAACGCTGAAATTTTTAATTAAATGTGTCTATCTTCCGCTAACGACTTCCGAAAATACATTGTAAAAATAACATCTAGCAATGAAAACAAAGCCTGAGTCAGAAATGCTTTGATGCGCCTTTTCAAGCTCTGAAATGAGCGCTGAATCGCGCCGCGCCGCTTCAAAGCGCCGCGCTGTGAGAGCGGCCGCGCCGTAGGGCGGCGATGCTGCCGAGCGCTTGGGGATCCCGGAGCCGCCGAGCTGAGGAAGGCGTTCCTCCAGGACCGGCCTGCGCGCGTCTGCTGGCCCTGATGGCATTCGCTGTGCCTGCTGCTGGGATGCGGCGCTGCGGTCGCCTTTGGATTGGAACGGCGGTACCCAAAAAACCAGTGCTTTGGACTCGGAGTAACCTGCAATGTGTGTGGAGAGGAAATTGCTCTTGGGCATGAAAGCTAGATAGTGTGCTACAGAGGTCTGTTTCCCTACAGATGGGAGATGTGGGTGTAAATTGGTTGTGTTTAGTGACGAGATCAGAACTTGTCAAAAAATATTTCAAGTTTTGGACTCTTCGTTACAGTTCATGCAAAAAAGGTTGTGGCATTCATTTCGAGCTATTGGTCTTTCAGAACATGTCCATACTGAGAGCTCTGGCCGGAATTAAATCTAGCAGTGGCATTTGATTCAAGTTTCTGTGGATGGGGAGTTCCTGAGTCACACTTAGAAATACGCGTGACACACGTGATCTATGGAAAGGGACAGCAATACCGATTACTTTTTTGGTTCCCTTTTTGGTTACTTTGTAAAAATCCTCATTAAAATGAATTTTTACAACTTACTGCTTTTCACGTTGCTGTGTGATGTTTTGAAACTGACTGACTTGGAGAAGCAGAGGGCAGTGGCTGCGTGCTTGGGGAGTGGCTGCTTGGTGACCCTGGAGAAATTTGGGTATGGCATGAGGGATGCTCTCAGGTTTTTTTTTTCAGTCACTCTGAATCTTATAATTCTGGAAAAGCTGCACTTCAGTCGAGTTGTCAGTGCGGGGTGTTGAAGGGGCTGACGTGGGGCTCCCGGTCCTTGAGGCACGCCTGTGGCTGAGGCTCACATTGGAGGCTCCTCCTGGGCAGCCCTGAGTTCCAGGCAGGGGTTACTCAGAACTGCCCTGGTCTCCTTCAAGTTCGCACCCCCCGTGCACCTTTGCCTTCATCTCCTCTTGTTTCAGCTTGCTGGTATTACTGCTGTGAAGACATCTCTAGTAGCAAGAGAAAGTGAAATAATCCATTTGTTTGTTGCTGTCTTATAGAATGTGTTTCAAGGTTGTTCCTGGTGTCTTATTTAATTCATCTCTAGTAATGAAAATTTCACTGCAAGAAAGCTCACACGACTTATCTCTCTTTGTAGCTTCCCATAAAGGCCAGCCAGCAGAATACCCACACCAAAGTCAGCACAGAGCACAACAAGGAGTGTCTCATCAACATTTCCAAGTACAAGTTCTCTCTGGTCATCAGTGGTCTCACTAATATCTTAAAAAATGTTAATAACATGGTGAGTTCTCTCATTTTAGATTGCTGGATGATTCTCAATATGGTTTTTAATTATTCACATTGCACAATGTCTGCAAAGAGACACTGAAGCTCAGTCAATGTTGGTCGCTTTTTACTCCTACATATTTTCTTTCTATATGATCACATTCACCAACAGCACTGTTTTACAAATCAAGATGGGGAGATGGCTGTGGCAGCAGAGAAGTTAAGGGAGGATGGTGGTTAAGGGAAATCCTTTGTTATTCATGGGAAGGGGTCTGTAGCTGGGAGGGTTGTAGGCAGCCAAGGGAGCAGTCATCTGGGCCTCTGAGCAGTGTTGAGGTACTGGCTGTGCAAGCTGCACCACTTGTTGGCAGATGAGGATGATGCTTTCTGTTGCCTGGAAAGGTGCTGCAGGTGGCTGGGGGAGCAGTGCTTGCAGCCTTTTTAGATGAAGAATGCAGCAGAGCTAAAAATGTTAATTAAAAAATCTATGTTTGCTTTTCACTGAGGAACAGAACTGTTTTTTTTTCCTCTATTCAGTGGAGTAAGTTACTGTGCAAATCAGCATTATTTGTGAAGGTATTAAGAAAAAGGGTTTGCACTCTGCCAAAAGTTGCAATTAGTTTTGAGCCAACCTCTTGAGCAGTGTGAGATGTTTGAGAGGAACCTTCTTTGGACAGCTGTAAGTTGGCTGTGGACTCAGGCAGCAGTACTGATACAGTTCTGGCTAAATCTTTTCTGTGTTGTTTAGCTGTCTTTGTATTGTTGGAACCAGCCAGTACCAGCAAAACAATTGGGTGATAGCTTAAGTGCTGGATGGATCTCTACCTCCATCCTGTTTCTGAAGTGTGGCATCCTTTTGGAGAGTCTCATGTTTCTTGCTGTGGTCTGTGATAAATTTAGCAGCACTTGAATAAGCTTGTAGGTATAGATTTGTTGCAACATCATTTCTGTTAAGTGAGATGTTGGCAATGAAATACATAATTGGAAAAGAGTCAGCAGTAATTGGTACCAAAATAGTTTCTGAAAAGCTGTAACCTTCATTTCTGAATAGTTTACCGGTCTGATGAAGGCAGGGGGCTGCAGTGCACCTCCACTCCTATTCTGCAGTAGCTGCTTGTTCCTTGTTGGATTTGGCCCTGCAGGCAGTACTGAGATATTTCTTCAGCAACAGGGTTTTAATTCTTTTTTTGGACTAGCTATGTTTCTGAACTTAACTTTAGAGCAGTAAAGGAGCCATAATTTTCTGTGCAACTCTGCAGCATTACTTTAATGTGTTACAAGTCAAATTTGTGCCACTCAGATCCTATCCTTTCTTCTTCCAGAGAATATTTGGAGAAACTGCTGAAAAGAACTTATATCTATCTCAACTGATTATCTTGGATACACTGGAAAAATGTCTAGCAGGGGTGAGTATGCTTGCATGAGCATGGTATCAAATGAGTTAAGAGAATAAGTCAAATGCCTGTCTGTCAGTTATTACTGGTACAAAACATAAAACTTAGCTCATTTGGAGCAAAGTAGTAGTAATGCTATTTTAAAAAGAGCAGAATTTTACATATATGAACGTTATTTACATAATTGATAAATTAAGTATTTCTGGGCTGTGTTTTCCTGCCTAGAATTAATGATAGTGACTTTAGTAATAGTGATTAGAAGTATTTTTCCATCTATATAGATTCAGGCAAACCGATGAACTTGGCCTTTTCAGTGCTCAGCTGATTGTCTGGAGTTATAAATAATGAGTTTCATGTAATAATTTGTTAGAAAATTTCAGACATCTGTATTCTGTGAGGCAGATGTGAGCTGGGGTAAGAAGGAGCACTCAGGTAAAGAATTAGACTTGGTTATCTGGCTTAGCTAGATTGCTGTAAACTTTGAATGCATGTGGCATATTCCACTTAAAGTCTCTTGTGAGTTTCATTTGTAAATGGTAAAGTAATTTTATTTCAGTTTTGTGTAATTGCATTTACAGTAGAAACTTTGCTATCGCTACTCTAAAACTTACTTTTGCAGGTGCTTCCTAGTTTACATTAGTTAACTCTGTTCAAACTTCCACTGGGAGTCCCGTCCTGAGGCTTCCAGTCAGAGCTGTGCTGAAAGGCAGTTTGCTGTTACCTTTGGGATGTTGATGGTTGTACAGCTTACTGTGCTAAACTTTGTAATTCCAGAGCCAAATTTCACTGTGAACAAAATTTGCAAATCTGTGGTTTATTCCTTTAATAAGAAAGACAATGAAATTCCTTTTTAAAGCTGTGCTCCTGGTTGAATATCATGAAATCACCCAAGCTTCTTGCTGTTTCTCTGTTTCTGAAAGCTTTTTATAAGGTGACTAGGTTTGTCAAGCACTGTATCTTACAGTAGTAAAACAGTCTCAGTATTTGTGAGTTCATCAGAATTCACAGAAGACCCAGGTAAATGCATTTTGCATAATAAAGTATGGCTGCAAAAGCTAAAGTAAATACCTCCTTTGGTTCATTTTCCATCTTTCATATGGAGAATCAAAGGAGACCCCCTCCCAAAACCTGTTTAATTTCTGAAATTTAATTTCTTTAAAATTTTCTTTTACACATTTTGCTTGAAACATCAGTGTTGTTTTTTTTCCTGATACATGATGATACTTCAACAGCCTAAAATTATGCTGGATGCTTCTCCCTTTGTCCATTCAAAGGAGAGCAAATTGAGCCCATATATGTACAGTAAGACTGAGCCAAAGTTCTATACAAAGAGCGTTGTGTTCTGTGATATCTTCAGACTTATTTCTTGCTCACTGTTCTTGCTCAATGTTTCATCAAGTTCTCATGGCAACAGAGCTCAGGTCAACAAAGTGGGAGTCTCTGAAACTTCCCAATTCCCTATGGTAAATTCATTGGTAGAATTTTAGAAAGCTTTAATGCTGACCCTTCTGTTAAAACTTGTTCTTACTAGAGCAAAGTTTCACTTCAAATTCTTCAGCAAATAGTTTCCTTATGTCTCATACTGTACAAACTGGCAAAAATTGAAATTTTCTTTTACAGGAAAGTTGAGACATTTTTTGACTCTCATAGAGCCATTCCAGGGAAGAGGAACAGAGAAGCACCTCTTTTTCAGTTCATTTAAAAAAAGATTTGCTGTTTGAAGTATAGGGGTCAGAATACTAACCAAAGGAGAGGTACGGGTGAGTCTGTGCCCTTCGTGCCACTATTCTAAGCCAAGACAGTGCTTGACATAAGTTGGCAGAGAACATTACTCAGGTAATATATTTTACTTCAGAAACGAACTTGGTGTTTTGCTTGCTGGCATTGGTCAACTTCACGTCCTACATATTTTGGAGACTAATTCAGAACTGTAACGTGGTTTGAATGGTGCAGATTGTTGTTCAAACGGGAAGAATCCTTTTCTGCATAGCTTACCATGTGGTCAGTGGTAGCATGCAAGTGGAACTTGAAATCCAGATTCAGGTCCAGTGCTACTAGTGGCAGATGCTCCATTCTTTGCCTTCGAACCTAGAAAATTGAATATCATGAAGTGCCAAATGTTTAATTTTAGCAACCGAAGGACACGATGCGACTGGACGAGACTATGCTGGTAAAACAGTTGCTGCCAGAAATCTGCCACTTCATCCACACTTACCGTGAAGGGAACCAGCATGCAGCTGAACTGCGCAATTCTGCCTCTGGGGTTCTTTTTTCTCTTAGCTGCAATAACTTCAATGCTGTGTTCAGCCGCATTTCCACCAGGTACGTGTTTTAGTAGCTTGACTCAGCCACTGCATTAGAACACCTGAGAATGGTGCCTAGAAGATCATTCGTGAGCTGCAGTCCTTCATTTTTGAAAAACTTTTACTGCTTAAGTGGTATTTAGAGAAATTTCCTCTGCCTGTCAAAGTTTTACTTGACTTTAGGGTTAGAAAAGGTACCTGTTCCATATCTGTTCTGGGTTGCTGTCAGCATAATACTTGAGTTGTGTTTATTGCTCTTTTTTACCTGCTTTTGTAAGTCCAAGTTAAACTTTACTGTAAAATGAAACAGTGATGACTGAGAGAAATGTATTTTGTAGCCTAAAGTTGAATATCCGCTCCTTTTATAGGACATATTTTTCAGCTAAGACTGACAGTCTTTGGGTTTAATTTGTGAATCCTTATTCACGTGTGTGTAACATGGCTGACTTCTCAAGCTCTGAAATCCTTCCTAGCATCAGTTTGACCGTACTGTAGTGCCTTTGTCCCCTGACCTGTTTTTCTCTTCAGGATGACTTGCACAGAAATAGTTAAATACTTGACCAATTGTTGCTGATCTCCACAGGGGTCAGCTTGCCGACAGTTAGCATTGCTGATCTTTTGACCTGTGCTTCCTGTTTAGGAATATTTCTAGGCCTTGCACAGCAGCTGGGGGATTTTTGGCATGAAAAGCAGTGCAGTGGGGACCTTCCCATTCCCAGCGTGGGCTGTTAAGTTTCCCTGGTGTTGAAGAAATGAAGAGCTGCTTTTGTGTGCAGTACTAGAAATTGCATTCCTTGTCAAAAACACATCTGTAGTTTTGGAACTAGACATGGCAATCTTTAGTTTGTGAGAACATATGATTTAGTTATTAGTGGCCTGGTATCTGTTGAGATGCTTAGTAAATTATCCAGTACAAAACTGAAAAGGTGCCATTGGATGTAGAACGGTATGATTAAACTTCATCCTGTTCTTTTGCACCAAGTAACAAGGACCTCCTTCAGCTTACTGAGTGTGATTGTAGCTCCCTTCTGTGCTATCAAGTGGCATCAGTCATTGTTTTACTGTAGAGAAATTAGCTGGGGCAAGACTTGCTGCTAAGGAACAGTAGTCTGAAGGTGTCATGACTCCAAGTGAATAATTTGGATGAAAAGATTTCAAGGTTAGAGCTACAAGAGGGGAGATAGCAGAAGTCTTCAGGCAAATCTTGGCTGTAAACAGGCTGTCACCAGCTGATACTGGTGTCTCGTGAGACTTACCACTGGTGTTTTTGGATCTATTCTCAGTATGAGGATTAAACAGGACTTGATTGTAACTCTTAATTTTGCAAAGTCTACCTTTTATTTCTAAACCTGGATAAGTTTATCTGAGAGGATCATATTAGATGTGGAGATCATTTATTATTCTGCTGCTCTGCACATGTATAGAATCGTGGGTGTGTGCACATACCTGTCTGATCATCTGAAGGAGAAGTTAATTTACTTTGCATATTTTTAGATTGCAGGAGCTGACTGTTTGTTCAGAAGATAATGCTGATGTTCACGACATTGAGCTTCTACAGTACATCAGTGTGGATTGTTCCAAGCTAAAACGACTCTTGCAAGGTATGATGGGAACCTGTCTGAAATATTTATATATGAGCATGTGTTGTTAGAGATGACACAGTGGTATTGATATGTTCAGCTTTTTCTTCTTTAATCCAAATATCCTGTGCGTTTTTACAAAGTGCTTACAGGTATGCGAGTACCTTTAAAGTATCAGAAAGTCCTTACTTTCTAAAGGCTTCAAAAGTGAGGCTTTGCACCTCACACATTTTTTATAAACTTTATTTGCTGCTTTTTGGAACTAAGCTTCTCTTTAATGCAGAGATGTTTTACCTTTACAGAGACTGTATTCAAGTTTAAAGCCCTTAAGAAAGTAGCTCAGTTAGCTGTTATCAACAGTCTTGAAAAGGCAAGTATTATTAATTTTCTGTTTCATCGCTTATTTGCTGTTTTTCTGTAACTTAAAAATATGTGCAATTCAGAATTTTATTGTAAAATATGCACTGGTGTTTCCCTTTGTGTCCTGCAAGAAATGCCGAGTTGTTAAAAGTTAACACCGAAATATTTATTTAAATATGTAATTTCAAAAACTATGTTTTTTAAGCTCAGGAACGTAAAGATGTTCTGTGTTACTTGCAGGCATTTTGGAACTGGGTGGAAAACTATCCTGATGAATTCACAAAGCTGTATCAGACTCCACAGACTGATATGGCCGGTGAGACATAACAAATGACACATTGTTCTAAAGTTGGTTTTAACTTTTTCCTATTAAATCATGGGGGGTTTGTGGATATTCTTAGTTGGTTCTGTTTTCCCACAAGGCATCCCCACATTCATTTTGTGTCTTTTTTTTTTTTTTTTTTTTCTTCTTGTCCATCCTACACGTCAGAACAAATTTCGGTCAGTCTTTTACAGGGCAGGCAAGAATGTGTTTCTGCTCTCTTTCCTGTCTCAACTTTTAAAGGGATTTGTTTTGTGATTCAGAACACAAAGAAATAGACCCCCAGAGATGCAAACTCTTCAGATGTGTATTTTTGTTCTTGATACACAAAAAAAAACTTGTTGGAAAACATCAGCTCTATTTATCTTTAATCCAAAAGGATAGAAATTAATATTTTCAGATAAGCCAGGGCTTTAAATGGTTCTCTCCACTTTTATCTTGGGTAGCATGTTTGTGATGTGCAAAGCAGGACTTTTTTTCTGTGTAGGCAGAGATATCATTGCTCTCTTACTCCTGTCTTTTCATAATTAAAAGCAGTATTGAACTTGAGGTTGCATTTCATGCAGATTGTGCAGAGAAGTTGTTTGACTTAGTGGATGGCTTTGCAGAGAGCACAAAACGTAAAGCAGCAGTGTGGCCACTACAAATCATACTCCTGGTCCTGTGTCCAGAGATAATTCAAGATATAGCAAAGGATGTGGTAGAGGAAACTAAGATGAACAAGGTAAGAAAAGAAAATTATCTTAGTTCTGAGTTCTAGGTGATGCTTGTCTTTGCTTATTCTATATTTTATTACGTCTTTTATACCTCAAGTGTATTAAAATTCCATATGTAAATTTCTGCACCCTTTTTGTTCTCAACTGGCATACGTTCTTTCATTGTCAATAATTCATGCAGCTCGTATGTCCTAAATAATGTTATTTCAGAACTTGCATGTTTCCTTAGAGATTTGAATCCCAGTGTTGCAACGCCCTTGTTTCCACCACACAGCTAGCATTTCTTCTAGCTGCTCTGTGTCGAACCGGTCTGAGTTTGTTCAGTGTGTGTAATGTGTGCTCTGAAATTGCAATACCTGCTGAAGGAGAATTTGGTGTGATTGCAAACATTCTTATTGTGAGTGAACCAGCATCTGATTTTATTGCATTCTGATTGCCCTCAATGATCCAAAATGAATGTGTAATACAGATAATGCTTCTCAAAAATACTGCATCAAGTTGGTTTTTTGCAGCCCCAGTATTTGTGACTTCTATTCAGGAAATGCAACATTATATTTTTTAATACTTAAGTTTCTGAAAACTCTGATCACAGATTACCAAAGCTCTGATGATAACTGTTACCCACTTGAATTCTGCAGAAACTGTTCCTGGACAATCTCAGGAAAGCACTTGCAGGCCACAGTGGGAGCAGACAGCTGACTGAAAGTGCTGCTATTGCTTGTGTTAAACTGTGCAAAGCGTCTACCTATATCAACTGGGAGGATAATTCTGTCATTTTCCTACTAGTGCAGTCCATGGTAGTAGATCTTAAGGTAAAACTATGTTTCCTAATTGCAATGAAGAAATTTGCAAACTTCCCCTTAAATGAGTGCCATGGTGTTCTTTAATGGAATGTTTTTTTTTCTTTTTTTAAATTGCAGCATTTGATTGAGTTGTTGCAATTCTTAATTTCACTCCCTTATTTTTTTTTGTTAATACCCTGCTTTCTTCCTCCGGAAGTTTTGCATTCTTTTCTTTATTTAGTGCCTCACGGGTGAAGCCATGACACCTGGGTAATTTACTGACTACTTCAGTGCTTCCCCAAGGTGCCATGTCACAACAGTAGATACTGTTTGAAAAAAAGCGGAATTTTTAGAGTAGAATACATGCTCCTTTTTTTCCCCCCATGTGATGTATTGAAAATAGACAAGAATAATCTTGGTGTCTCTCTTTTTTTCTTCTTTCTTTAACAAAAAAAAATGTATATAGAATTTGCTGTTTAATCCGAGCAAACCTTTTTCAAGAAGCAATCAGAATGCAGATGTAGACCTTATGATTGACTGCTTAGTTTCATGCTTCCGCATAAACCCGCATAATAACCAGCACTTTAAGGTGAGAGCACAACGTTCTGGTAAGTCATTCTGCATACTGTCAGTGACTTGTAAATTATCAAAGATGTGCCAACAGCAGCTGGGAGTTGGTAAATAATTTCAGCTGTGTAAGTGTCCCTTAGTGATACATTACTTTGTGTTTTTATAAGTCTTTTCTTAGCCTGTTAGAGTTCCTTATTCTCATGTCTTTACATTTGACAATTTTGTCAATTTAATTAAAAGGCTCCAGTATGTTTTTCAGTGTGGAATGAAAGGTGTCAGAGAAAAAATGTGGCTTTTATGTATTATTTTCATTGCAGATCTGCTTGGCACAGAGTTCCCCATCAACATTTCATTATGTACTAGTAAATTCACTCCACCGAATAATCACAAATGTAAGTTCTGAAAATATTTAATCAGCCCAGCTATCTGTGGCTTCTGTTCAGATCCGTAGCTGCTTCAGCTTAAATCCGTGCCGCAGGAGTTGCTTGTTAATAGCCAAGCGTGTGCAAATGTTATTTCACGCTGTCTGCTGGCTGGGTTCTCCATTTGAGAGGTTTTCCTGGTCAGTGTGAAAATGGAACCAGGCAGTGCTGAGCAGCCGCCCTCCTGACGACGTGGTGTCACTCGAGTTCGTGTGTCCCAGCATGATAATGAGAGCACTGCTTAAAAAAACTATGAGGCGTTTTGAGAAATAGAGAAGAATGTGCTACAGTGGATGTGGTGTATCCAGAGGAAAAATAAGGAAGTAATTTTGAATAAATTATATTGCTATGGTATTTGTACACTTTCAAATTAATGCTGTTTTACTTACGATTAATATGTTGAATAATACAGCTTTTTAGATATTATCAAGTGCTTAGAGCATCATTTTTCTACTTTGCGTAGTGTATCAGAATGAGTTGAGCACGTGTTGTGTTCATAGTATTATTAAGCTCCCTGTATCCTGAAATCCACTCTGGTTTCCCAGATTTTCAGTTTGTTGTTCAGTAGTAAGCAGCTAACTTTGAGTTGTTGCTTCAGTTACAATTCATTTAAGACTGAAATGGAATATCTGTAATAGTGTGCAAAACACTCATTTGTTATATTAAACCTTTTGTAACTTTTAGAGGTCTAAGAATTGTGGAATAAATCCCAGAATCATATGTAAACCATGACATAAGTCATGTTATGGCGCACCTGCTGAGCACTTCTGCATTTTCCTCCTAGTCTGCATTGGACTGGTGGCCCAGGATCGATGCTGTGTACTGCCATTCCGTGGAGCTTCGCAGCATGTTTAGTGAGACACTTCACAAAGCGATTCAGGGCTGTGGGGCACATCCAGCAATTCGCATGACTCCGGTAAGACCTGTCAACAAGTTGGTAAAACAAACCTATCGCTTTTCCCATCTCTCCATTCCATGTTGGCTTTTTATTCGTTAACCTTAGACTGGAAAGCAGAGGGGGGAAGAACATTACAATCCAAAAAGCAACAGAGAGCCATACATGCTCTGTAAACTTTCCAGGTTATGGTGTATTGACTAGCTGTTCCTATGCTGTAGTGACACATGCTTCTCCAGGTTTTTTTTTGTGCTGCTTTTAAACTGGCAACATAGAAGTAACTGTCCTCCGTGGCTAACCATTCATTTTACGTGTTCTTGCTGTGTGAATAGCTAGATAATATATCCAGTTCTGTTTAATCTGAAAAATGGAAGCATTCTGTATGTGAGGTTAATTTCTGAAAACCGGAATGCTTTTACCATGATTAGCACGATTATTACACTATTACCTCCTTTTATTTGTCTTGCTTGCTTTCTGATAGCAAGTTGACTGGTCTTGGTGACAGCATCAATGATAAAGATCTTTCAACCATTGTGAAATGAAGTCAGTATTCTCGGTTGTCGTAGAAATTTTGAGTAAATTCAGATTTGTGGTTCGTCCAGATTTATTCAGTAAGTTCACACGCAACCACATTTCCTTCTGATCTTTCTGTGTAGGGCTCTGGATGTGTCACGTTAGCTCACTGATGTTCTGTATTGTCACAGTGTGTTGGATGTTTGTTTTTAGAAGAGCTAAAATTATGCATGAAAATACTACCGTTGGGCTTGTCGTATGAAAGAAAAACAGTCAAAATGCCTTTAGTTGAAAGCTATAACTTGTTTAACTTGCTTTTTACATGTGTATGTTCATCTGTTGAGAAAATAGCAGGGGTGTTGTAGTGTCAACTCTGACATTGATTGGTGGTGCTTTGTCTTCTGCTTCTTATTTTCTATTCTTATTGGCTGCTGTCGCTCATGGTCAGATGCCAACCAGTCACTGTTTTGCATGGCAGTGGGCCTCTGTTGCTGTAAGTATGACCCATCGTAACTACCGCAGAAAAGCCTTTCGTTGCCCTGACTTTTCTGTGCATAGTTACTGCTGCAGTCACATCACTTCACTCGGACACAAAAGGTGGCTTTGCGTGGAGCACAGGACTGGAGGAGACTGCTTCTGCTGGGCTGGCAGTTGCAATGTCATCCCTTGTACAAACTTGTTGCATTGGTAAAGGCTTTTTGTTGGATCTGTTCTGTTCTTTCTGCCCTCTACATTTCCATCACAACACTCTTCCAGAATCTCCCAGCTCTGCGATTAGAACTGTTTTCTAATTTCCAGCCTAAACTTCTTTATGTGTAACTTTATCCCCATGTGTTGTTGTTCTCTGTTGTCTGCTAGCTTCAAACTGGTGTTTATCCCCCTGATGCCTGTGCAGACAGCAGTCGTGTCCCTGCCTTTAGCTTTGACAGTGTGAAGTAAATAGACACTTCATAGAAGCTGATCAGCTTCTTTTGCCAAGTGTCTGTTCTCCCTTACTGCAGCAAACTAAGATTTTGCACAGCATGAGTTAGCTCTACTAGCATAGTATCAATTTCTTAATCAGATACTTTGTGTGGTAGATTTTATTCTATTTTCATATATATTCACTGGCCAGCAAAGTAGTGTGAGCTTTGAGCATTTCTGGAAGAATTGCATTCTACAATATTGTATATATACTTTACTTCACTTGAGGATGATTTTGAGCTGGTTTATTTTACGTTCAAAATTAAAACTTGTTTTTTGTCTTCACTAAGCTTGTTACTGTTTGAGATTTTATCAAATAATAAATTAGATAATTAAAAAGCTGAGTTTCTAAAGTGTTCTGTCCTGTGCTGAATATCCACAGCCTTTTTTTGTGCAGTTTACTCTCGACTATTTTGGTAGCAGTAGGCAAAAATATTAGCTTAGTCCCTGGTGATGGAGTTTACAATTAATGAAAATATAAATTCTGTACGTTTACTGGAGAGAGATAAAAATCCATGTTTGAGCATCCTGGGGTCCAGTTAATGCAATATATCTCGTATTTTTTTTTTTTAATACACATAGAGAGATGAGTGTTTTTCACAGACACCAGCATTTGTCCAGATTATATTTAAGGTGAAGGTGCTGCAGTAGTTTGCTGTGCAACAAGATTGTTCACTCTGAAGTGTTGTGTGTGCTGTGGGGTCGAAGCATGTTCTCAGTTTCGGAAATCCCTATGTTGAGTGACATCCATACGCACTGACTGCACAGCCAGCACTGTGTGACTGGTGGAGAGGTGCGTTGGTCATGCTGGGTTCTGTTGTGAATGGCAGTGCTGGAACGTGCTGCCATTCACAGTGGAGTCAGAATTCCTTATGAGTTGCTGATACAAACTTTATAGTGCCCTCCATTTCAGATGAGGGTGTTGAGGAGTGCAGGGACAATTCCTGGTTTTTCAAATGGAACTAGCATTTTTTAATGAAAAGATGCACTATGTGCTCTGAGAACTGAAAGGCACTCTTTTTTTCAGACGTCACATAGATGAAAATGCCTTAATCCAGACTGTAACTATGACAAAATAGTGCGTGTTGCCTTTGGAAAATAAAAATTCCCTACCCTCTCATGTATTCAGGTTTACTTGTGATCTTTTTTTCCTCTCAGAACAGCTGAAATAGCTCTAAATTTTTATTATTTCTTCTACACGTTTCATTTGTATAGTTTGTCTTATCCAGAGCTTTTCTTATGTCCACCTGCAGCTCACTGAAATATTTATTAAGTAAACTTTACAGATGTAATAGTGATAGCATATGCATATTTAACGGGGAATTTTTAAGCAGAAGTCCATGCAACTGTACTTGAGTGAATTGAATGTACTTTTTAACTCTTTCATGAGTCATAGATAATGTAAACAATAATGCTTCATAAGTTGTTTAGTTGCAACTTCTACATATAGTTCCTTGCTGACTATAACTGCTTTTTCCTCCTGTCAGAGTCTTACGTTTAAAGAGAAAATGACAAGCCTTAAATTTAAAGAAAAGCCTACTGACTTGGAAACCAAAAGCTACAAGTTCCTGCTCTTATCCTTGGTAAAACTGATCCATGCTGATCCAAAGCTTTTGCTGTGTGTAAGTATGTTGAATATTTCATTCAAGTAGTAGAATTTCATTTTGAAGTTCCTAAATGAATAAAAATTAGAAATATACCCATGACATCTAGGATACTTCCCTGCTCATTCTTTTCATCTGAACTGTCAAAACAAAAAGATAACAAGAAAAATGAAGCATCTTACAGAACCAGAGGGGAACACAATGAAAGGGAACATACAGCTGTGTAACTGAAGGGAGAAAGAAGGGATTACAGTCCTTGTTTCAGTGACCAGAAAAATGGATGCTTTCTTAGTTCCTTACAGCTTTCAGTTACTGTTGTCCGTGGTGTTGAGTAAAAGGAGGATTAGGGCAAGCATTCTTTAAAATAGATATGTAAAATTGCTAAAGATTCACTCTGATGTGAAAGAGAGCCGTAACTTAATAAGCCTTATGTTTGAAAGTGCTTCCTTGTGAATTCATGTCAGAATGAATGTTCTGTTCTTTATAGTATTACTCTGTGACTGAATCTCATACATCAAATCTGAAATATCAGAAGTAAACTGAGTATTGATCAAATGTCTGCACGTGGAGGGCGTGGGAATGCAGTGCTGCCAAAAGTAGGGGTAGTATGAGCATCTAACCAGTGTGCTAAACATTTTCCTTCTGTCTGGTCTGTTTGTTGTTTAATTTAAATAGATTTCTATTATGTCAGAGATATAATATGGGGTGTCATGGCTGCTGCGCTATTAAAGATGTGGAAATCCACTAGTTTAGTTACAAAAATTACTGTTTATCAGTCAGTAGCATGGTCAGTCATTGACAAGCTTTGCTTCTTAAACTTGCTTTCATTTTCGCTGTTTAGAATCCAAGGAAGCAAGGGCCTGAGACACAAGGCAGCACTGCTGAATTAATTACAGGCCTTGTACAACTCGTTCCACAGTCCAGTATGCCAGATATAGCACAAGAAGCCATGGAGGTAAGAGGTGAATGTTCTCTATGCCAGATGGTTCGTACAGGCTGTGCTGGACAAACTGGGGCTTTTCTAGAAGCCCTGGTAGGTATTGATCAGCTATGCAGTTGTTTTAGAGATGTGTCTCTATTGGTCTTTTGCTAAATGTCTCCTGCATTAAGAGTTTTACAGGAGAGACCTAGAGGGAAAGTTTTAAAACACAGCCATTCGGGTTGCCAGTTGGTGGCTGCCCTACATCCCCTAAGACATTTTGTTCTGCCCTGGCATTGATGGAACAGAGTTTGACAGTTCCTCTGCTCCTCTGTTGTGCTCTGCACAGCCCCATTGGGCTCATAGGTGCTTGTCTCCGTTTTGGTGATTGTTCACAAATAAGCACTTAGCAATAGATTCAGACCATTGTCTGTCAAAGCCTTTGGTTGTGCAGGGAATGGTTACAAAGAGGAAAGTATTTTCCTGGCCTTGGAGAAGAGCTTTAACTAAAGAAATCTTGTAGTCACCATTAGAGGCTTATGTATGTAGGACTGCTTGAACAAATGTCTGCAGTAAATGTTAAAACACAAACTTATCTGAAGTGAGATGCTGTTTTGTTTTGAATTTAGGCCTTGCTAGTTCTTCACCAGTTAGACAGCATTGACTTATGGAATCCTGATGCACCTATAGAAACATTCTGGGAAATTAGGTAAGTTAACTTTTGTAAGTAAGAGGAATGGGTTTTGATTTCTCTTCTTTTTTGCAATAGCTGTGAATAGTTCAGAAAGTTGTGTAACATCAGCGTGAATTGGCACTCTGTTAAAGCATTTTTTCTCATGACAAAGCTGCCTTATGCAATTTGAATTCTAACAAAAATATCCACAAGTGTTTTGCAGGCTTTCTTAGCAGTTCTCTTCAGCGTGCTGTTGAGGAGTAGCAATGATTGTTGATAGAAAAAGTTAAAGGCTTTATTCCTGCATACAAGTGTTTGTTGTTTGAATTCTGTTGCATTTGTGTGGACTGAGGGAGGATAATGCTAAGCAAATCTAGAAGTGTGCATTTACTGACCTTGACTTTGAAACCCTCATTTAAAGAAGGTAGTAGCTGACCCTGACCTGTGGTTTCCATTTGTCTTTCTTGTGTGTTTAAAGAATTTTTATTGGTAAATTGTCTTGCTTTTTATAACTTCACAGCAGCTGTTGCAGTTGATTTATTGGAGAATACTAAGGTAAACAAAGTTCCAAAACAGTCGGTTAAAAAAGAGCTGAACCAAAAACTAAGGAGCCTGTAAACTCAGAGTTCTAAGAACTGCGTGAGCCGGCCAACTCAGCTCATTCTCTTCTCAGAAGAGAATTTGGTGATCTCTTCCAGTTTGGTACAGGAGGTTGTTTTGGAAGAAAGCCTGAAGTCTAGGTGGTACACTTTCACTAGCATCAACAAATGGGCCTGCATGACTGCTAGAGGTGGCTCTGAGGGCTTATTATGGGATAGTTCTGGGGCTGAGTCCTACCTAGCTGGGCGATAACAAACTCATTACTGTAATTTAGTAGTAGAAATGAATCTGTGGTCTGTTCGGGCTGGGGGAGAAACCCTTTAAAATTGACACTAATTTGGACCCTTTGGCAGTTTTAACAGAGAGTGTGAGGCCTGAATGGATATGAAGGAGGAACATCCCTAGATGTGTTCCTTCCAGAACAGAGTTGAGACACGTTATCAGAGCAGTGTAGGTAAACTTGTACTGCCACTGTCTGTGCTGTATCTGTTCTGTGGATAAATGGAGGACTTCTGAATCGACGGCCCTGGAGTGTGGACTTCTAGCAAGTACCCAGATTGCTTAACTTCCTCTAGGGAACTGCTGAGGCCATTTGGGCGGTGGGAAGGGTCAGAGGGGATTGTGTCATTTGAAGTACACACCTATATCATATCTATTATACAAGTTAAAAGAAGGTGTTAGCACATCTGTAGGATATTCATGCCAGTCATCTATTTCTATGTAAAATGTAGCAATAACTTTTTCAAATATTTTGTTGTTAGATGATAAAGTTAATGCTTCATTTCATTTTGCTGCAGTTCACAAATGCTTTTTTATATCTGCAAGAAATTAACCAGTCATCAGATGCTCAGCAGTACAGAAATCCTCAAGTGGCTGCGAGAGATTCTCATCTGTAGGAATAAATTCCTTCTAAAAAATAAAGTACGTAAATATCTGTTTTGTCACTCCCTTTGTTAGGTTATTTTTATGATTGAAGGAGTGTTAGTGGCTACACTTGCACTTTCTGTTTTCTGATTTCTGCCAAGAGAAAAATGCTTTGTCTTCTGTCATCTGTGAGACAATGCAGTGAGGCATCTGTGATTAGAACCCTTAGCTGAAGTTAGGGTGAGAATTCAGCTACATGGATTGTTTTACTTTCCCTGAAAATGGTTTTCCAAAACCTCAGTTATTTCTGAGAAGGTGATGCACTGCACTTATTTCCCTAATACAGGGGAAATGGTCTGCAAGAGGAGAGAGAGGGGAGGATGGTTATGAGAAAATGCATTTCATTGAGCTTGTGTTCAGCCTTGTCCTAGAACTCACTTGCTTCTTTCAAATACTAAGAGACTTCTTCCGAGCTGAACACACTTTGAACTCTGTACCTGCTAGAATTAAAACCAGACTTTTTTAATTGAAGGCCTACTACTGAAAATAAAGAGTTTGTTTTTTTCTGTCTGGCTTGCAAGTAGATGTATTAACTTGAGAAGATGTCATGTGTGATATGTGACATGCTTAAATGTCCATTGTACCAAGAGCATTTTTATCTTTAAATGATCTTCTTTCTCTTTTCGACATTGGTAGCTGTTACTGATGGAGGCTTTGAGTTTGTGTTGATGCTGAGTGGTAGGCTTTTTTCTTTATCTTCAACATAATGTACATTTGTGAAATATCTCATACTGCAGCTCAGGACTACGGGCATTCTGGCTTTTTATGAATTTGGGAAGACGTTTGTATTTTGCCTTGAAGTAGGAATCAGCTGTCCTTGAGACACAGAGTTGCTTAAGATTGTAATCCTGCTTTCAGTAGAGAAGAACTTAGTTGTTAGAGATCTCTTCCTTCATAATGCTCAGAGGATGATTATTAATATCATCATAAGAAAAAGATAATTGTTTCCAGAGCTCTGCTTCATGCTCTTGGTTTTTACTTTTTATGTTAAAATATCAAGTGTATAGAGAATTATAGTGCTGCTGAGCTTGGCTTCTTTAGACTGAATTACATTTAAACTATAATTATGTTGGTATGTGTTCTGTGTAGTAAAACCAAGAAACCTTTTGGGATTTCAAGGGCAGGCCCAAGGAAGGGAGGAGAAGGCATAATGTGCTTGCTTCAAGGTGATGCATTTTGAAGATGGTTCTCAAAATACTTTGTTTTCTTAAGGGAAAGCATCATTCTAAGATACTGTTCATGTGGGTGTATTTATGAGGTCCTCTTAGAGCACCAGTGTGAAAGATACATTGTAAATTCTGAGCTTTTCCCCTTGATAAGGTAGAGCCATGTCCTGAATCATATTGTTTTAAAAGATAAGGTGGTTTATTATTTTTCTTTCTTTTTTTCATAGCAATCAGACAGAACTTCCTGTCACTTCCTCTTCCTGTATGATGTCTCTGGAGGTGGAACCAGTCAGATGTCTCTTGACCATGAAGAGATGATGCGCTGTGCTCCTGGAGCCACCCTCAGGAAAGGGAAAGGAAATTCTTCCATGGTGAGTAACAGAAACCTGAAATCTCACCCTTTGAAGTATTGCGTGCAGTTGGAATGTACTGCAAAAAATCAAAATATCAAACATTTCAGTAAGGTATGCCATTGGACAGATAAGGTTTTCTGATCTACTCTTTAGCTGCAGGAAAAAGTGAAATGATATTTTGAATATCTTCTGTGAGCAAAAAAAATTGTTTATTGGCACACAATTTTCTAGCGTCAGTGGGACTTCCATAAGCATGTGAAGGTAGTCATGAAGGTAGTTTCTTGCCTCTTTGTTTATGCAGTGTCATGTACAATAGAGTTCTGATCTCGGTTAGGACTGTTTATTCTCCTGGAATAAAAGCAAATTTGAGAAGGATCTTGGATAAAGTTAAATTATAGGAAAACTGTCATATTCCTAAGCAATATTACCAAATTTGGAATTTTGTTTCCCAAGGAAAGTACAGCAGGATGCAGTGGAACACCTATTTGTCGCCAGGCCCAAACAAAATTGGAAGTCGCCTTATACATGTTTTTGTGGAGTCCGGATATTGAGGCAGTCCTTGTTGCAATGTCCTGTTTCCGTCACCTCTGTGAGGAAGCAGATATCAGATGTGGAGTAGATGAAGTTTCAGTTCATAATTTTTTGCCAAACTACAACACTTTCATGGAGTTTGCATCTGTTAGCAATATGATGTCAACAGGTAGGAATGGTGAATCTGAACAATATCTTTGCCCCTGGGTAATAAGACTGTTGGGATTGAAATTCTTTGAATAAGATTCTTGATTCAAGTGTAACTCTTGCTTTCATTGAAATAGCTGGAACAAAATGGGAATTTGGGTGTCTGTGATGATGTGAAAGTGTGACAAGGAGAACCTTTTTTGAAACACTTTAAGGGGTTATGTTCCTCTTGCTAATTTAAAAATTACTTTCAAAGATCTCATATTTGATGCAGATCGCTTTTCAGAAACCTGTTTGATAAATATTCTGTTCTTTGTAGGGAGAGCAGCTCTTCAGAAAAGAGTGATGGCTTTATTAAGACGTATTGAACATCCAACTGCAGGGAACACAGAGGTAAACTTTATTATAAACTTATATACGTATCTGTTGGTTTTGTGTTTTTTTGTTGTTGTTGGTTGATATGGTTTGGTTTTTATGAACACAGAAAAGACTTGTTTCAAGTAATTTTGAAGTTAAATCTTGATATGTCTTATTTTAGGCTTGGGAGGATACACATGCAAAATGGGAACAAGCTACAAAACTAATCCTTAACTATCCGAAGACCAAAATGGAAGATGGGCAGGTGACTATGATTTTTCCATAGGTTCAACACTTGGAAATTCAAAGTAAATATTTAAATTTATGTATTTTAAGGAATTTATCTTTAACTTAGGCAGCTAGTTCTCTAGAAGGATGTAAGTTCCATGACAGTATTCCAGAAATCAGTCCTCTGTGCCCACTGATGAGAGAATTTTACTTAAATTGTAAGACAGATGGAGTCTAAACTTATAAACTGAAAAGAATACTCTGGAATACTACCAGAGAAATTGTGCAGTCCTTTCCACTGAAAGGTTGTGTTGTTTTTTTTTTTTTTTTTAAAGGGAAACAAAAAGCTGCTGGCAGTCATCACTTAAATGTGCTCTATCCTGGTATTCAGCAGGGAGTTACAACCCGCTTTGGGCCACCTTTAGCCTTGTTTTTTCAACTTCTTCAAAAATAGTTCCCCTGGATAGATTTCTTTTACGGCCAAAATAAAATGCAAAAGGCAAATCTTAAAATATTGTTGAGACTGGAATTTTAAATGGCAGGATTCGATATGGAATGCTTTCAAATTCTGATCTCTCTGTTATTTTTGCTTAATTGAAGAGACTTCATCTCGAGTTGTTCTTTTTCAGGTTACTGAGAGTCTTCATAAGACAATTGTGAAGAGGCGAATGTCGCATGTTAGTGGGGGAGGCTCCATAGACTTGTCTGACACAGATTCTCTTCAGGAATGGATCAACATGACGGGATTCCTCTGTGCCCTCGGAGGAGTGTGCCTGCAGCATCGCAGCAATGCAGGATTAGCAACCTACAGTCCACCCATGGGCCCAGTCAATGAGCGTAAGGGCTCCATGATATCTATGGTATCCACTGAGGGAAACGCAGAGACTCCCGTTAGCAAATTCATAGATCGATTATTGACTCTGATGGTGTGTAACCATGAGAAGGTGGGACTGCAAATACGGACTAATATTAAAGATCTGGTGGGTTTGGAGTTGAGTCCAGCACTTTATCCAATGCTATTTAACAAATTGAAGAATACCATCAGCAAGTTTTTTGATTCTCAAGGACAGGTAAAGTGTTTCCTTCACATTTGTATCTTAATAAAAAGCATCAGTCTTGTCTTTCACATTGGTAATTGAAATGAGGTGTCAGTTCGTAGTTTGTACAAAAGATCTGCTAGTGTGACTGTCTGAGAGCATGCTTCTGTGATTTTTGTATTTGATTCCAAGTTGTATTTAGCATAAAGTTATTAAAATATTTTTGAGTTCTTAGTAAACTCTTAAACAACAGAACCTGTGAGAATGTTCTCAGAATCTCTAAGATTGGTTAGTGTTAACCTGTTTTAATAATGACATACAGTAACGTTCTTTTGCTCAAGTGATAATTGAAAAATGCTTGTCTGTTAGATTTTGAAATTCTGCAGTGTATTTGATAAACAGCTGCCCCCCTTTTTTTTTCTGTCCATAATTAAGACCAGAAACTTTCTTCCTGTAGGTTTTGTTAACTGAGACCAACACACAATTTGTAGAACAAACCATTGCTATAATGAAGAACTTGCTTGACAATCATACAGAAGGGAGCTCAGAACATCTTGGACAAGCTAGTATTGAGACAATGATGCTAAACCTGGTTAGGTAAGAAACCTTCTTGCCTTTCCCATACAAAGTAATGTGTTTACGGAGGAAAATTAGACTTTTAGTTCATACCTTTGCTTGCATCCATCAAGGAAGTTGACTGCAGTCCCCTTTCTTAGGGTCCTAAAAGGTTCACTAATCATGGAGACTGGTTATACCGTAGCGTTAAGTGAACTGATGGAAGGTGACTTTTTTGTTTATCAGAACCAACCATTCTATAGCTCACCTCCTTTCCTGGAAGTATTCCTTCATACTTTTATATGCAGTTGTGTCGGTGGTTGGCAGTCAGCTGATGGGCAGGTTTCTGTTCAGTTTTGTACTGATAGGAAACTTTTTGCCCAGAAGAAATTTGATACCCATCTTTAGCTGATATATAAAGGTTGTTTTCCTCACTTGGCAAAAAGATTGGCCCAAACACTTGCTGATCTTTTATGCAGGTCCATTACATGTAGGTTTTGAGATGAAGCTGAAAAGATGTATGAGATGCGTGGGTCGTTTTTCATGCACCATGAAGTATCTGCTTCACCTTTTTGCTGTTTGTCCCCAGGTATGTGCGTGTGCTTGGAAACTTGGTACATGCGATTCAAATAAAAACCAAGCTCTGTCAGTTGGTGGAAGTAATGATGGAGCGGAGAGATGACCTTTCATTCTGCCAAGAAATGAAATTTAGGTGAGTAAAGTATTTAGGAAAGAGTAAACATGTTCAAGTGTAATTCTGTTCCGCTACGTGTGTGTTTGTTTAAAAAAACCAACACTTTTTCATAACAGTCCTTGTCCTCAAATTTCATAATTTAGAATCTGGTGCTACGTTAAGTTTTTGTTTTGATTTTGGGGATGCTAAATGTATGTTTAAAAAAACGAAAGAAATCTGCACGTGATGCTGGATGGGGTATTTGTTGGTCCACTAAAATGTCGCTGTGTGGTGATTCAAATAGGAACTTGTAATAATTCAGAGGAGGTAAACGGTACTGAGTGTGCTTGAGGAAATAGATTGTTGTTTAAAAACCAAAAGCTGGCAATTTTGTATGTGTATATTTTACAGGAACAAAATGGTGGAGTATTTGACAGACTGGGTTATGGGAACGTCTAATCAAGCAACGGATGAAGATGTGAAGTGTTTGACAAGGTATGGAAGGATGCTGTTTTGCTGTTTCTGAAATGCTGATGGTGTTTTTGGTGACATTTGATATACGTGGATCAGCTGGACTGTGTGGAATTTCTTTAGTGGTTGTAATTTTAAGGAAAATGCCAAAACTGATAGTTAATTTTTTGATGGGCAGCAACAGGATAATATTTAATGCATAGCATTCACTGGCATGGCTCCTGAGGGCTCTTTCAAAGTGTTCCAATTTCTATTCAATTCTCCTTAATACAATTTCTGATTTAGCATTAGGATTGTTAGTTTTAATTTATGAAGTTAATTTGTCCTATGATATGTTATAAAGTCATAAAAACTTAGTGTTAAATGTTTTTAGTGACATACTTGCTTTTCAGTTGTTGTCCTTTAATAATGTGTTGCTTGAACCTGTTCTGCATTATGTGGTTGCATTTTCCTGCTGGACAGAATGCAGACCTTATTCTGGTAGACTTTTCAGCTACAAATAGGTGCATAAGTGGAAGACTTGGAGCATGAAGAGAAATCTTCAGATGGGAGCAGAGACCAATCCTGCTGAAGTCTGAAATGATTCACAGCTGTTTTTTGGTTTTTTTTCTTTCCCAGAGATTTGGACCAAGCAAGTATGGAAGCAGTGGTCTCTCTTCTCGCTGGGCTTCCATTGCAGCCTGAAGAAGGAGATGGTGTTGAGTTGATGGAAGCCAAATCTCAGTTATTTCTTAAGTAAATAGTGACTTTTAACTATTTTTATTATACAGTGGCTCCAAGTACATGCACCATATAATTTTTTTTTACTACTATGTTTTTTTTCTTCTAGCTGAATAAATTTAATTGTCCAAAGTTACCTCATACATTCACCATTTTACCCATCTGTCTCCAATGTTAATGGAAACATATTTGTTTAGAAAGCAATTATTAGGTTTGGTTTTGTTTCCCCTTAACGTAGATATATCTTTAACTCATGGGAGAAGGATTAACTGGGTTTGAAATTGCATTTGGCTGTGAAGGTGCACCTGTGAAATTCAGTTTCTTGATCTGAGGAATTTGTGTACGTGTTTCTTGGGCATTGCCTTCCTGTTGTTTCAACATATTCTTAGACAATTCAGACAGTACTACAAAAAAAGATTATTTGGGGCGTGCATGGGATTCTTTTTTGAAGGCTTATGGCTTATTTGTTTTTGTGTGCAAATCTTCATGGTGTTGCCTTCATATAATCTTTCAATGATCCAAATCGTTCTCTTTTCCTGTAGGTATTTCACACTGTTTATGAACCTTCTGAATGACTGTAGTGAAGTTGAAGATGAAAGTGCTCAAACAGGTGGCAGGAAACGTGGGATGTCCCGCAGACTGGCTTCGCTCCGGCACTGCACTGTTCTTGCCATGTCAAACTTACTCAATGCAAATGTGGACAGTGGCCTTATGCATTCAATAGGTAATGTAATTGGAGAAAACCCTGTGATTATGTATTCCATTTATTTTTACATGATTTTTAGTCAGTGTATTGGATTATTATTATTATTTTTTTTTTTTTAAATGAGGCTTGGGCTATCATAAAGACCTCCAGACAAGAGCTACGTTTATGGAAGTCCTCACCAAAATTCTACAGCAGGGAACAGAATTTGATACGTTAGCAGAAACAGTGCTGGCAGATCGGTTTGAGAGGCTGGTGGAGTTGGTTACGATGATGGGTGATCAGGGAGAGCTTCCTATTGCTATGGCTTTAGCGAACGTGGTGCCTTGTTCTCAGTGGGTGAGTTGATTCATGTATTTTATTTCCTGTATTTTTTGAAAATAACAAGACTTGAAATAATTAGTGCAAACACTTTTGAAGTGTAACAGGGCCCACCAAAGTGAGATCAGACCTCTGTTTTGTAATAGTTAGCTTTTCTGAGTATATTCTGAAAAAATGTATTCAGTTTTAAGAGATCTTAATTACAAACAAGAGTTTTATTTTGAATTTTAGTTGATGTCTAAGTAATTTTATATGCAGTTATTATGTATTTTCATTGATGTTACTTGTTACAGGTTGTGTGCTGTAATGCAGAAGAACAAAACTCTATTTGCTCCTCTGTGGAGATTTTAGCGAGATTAATTGGTCCTTGTTATACAGCTTATCTATCTGGACCTTCTGAAATTGCATGAGGAGTTACAGTGGAAGAGATTTTTACACAGTAGCATAGGGAAGATTAAAGAAAGGATTGTCTGTGCTTAACTGGATATTTCCATGCAAATAGCAAATTTAAAGCATTCGTACAAGCTGTAACTGGGTGCTCAGATGAATGTTGCCTTGATTCTTTCAGGATGAGCTAGCTCGTGTTCTGGTCACACTCTTTGATTCCCGGCACTTGCTCTACCAGCTACTTTGGAACATGTTTTCAAAGGAGGTTGAGCTAGCAGATTCCATGCAGACACTCTTCCGAGGAAACAGCTTAGCTAGTAAAATAATGACTTTTTGTTTTAAGGTATGTTGTCTAACCTTTCTTTCTGCTGCAAATCACGTCAACAACGGGAACGGTTGAGTAATACAAAAATACAAAGCTAACCACCTACGGTGTCAAGCATTTGAGAAAATGGATTTTATGGAAATACTACAAAGTTAAGATTTAAGCTCAGTTTAAATTAGTTGTACATCTTACTGGCATCTCTTGAAAATTTAGGGAGTTTTGTGTTTAATGCTTGATGAAATAATTTTTGTTGATAGAAGTAATTTTGTAGATAAAAAATACCAATCCTTCAGGAACTAACCTTTTACCAGGACTGTTTGGCTTAAGTCTGCAGTTAGTCCCTTTGAAAGTTTCCAAAGTAAAAAATGCTTCATTTTTCTTGGTCTGTGTGCTCTGTATTGTGGAGAAATCTGACTGTTTAATAAAAACATATGTAAGATTTGTAGGCTTGAAGACACACATTACTAGATATTTAGAAGATCTGACTTGGTAAAAATAGCTAAATACTTGTACAGAATTCAGTTATTTTGAAGTCCTGACCTACATAATCTTCAGTTGTAAGTCTCTTAAAACTTATGTCCACCTCAGTAATATGATGACCTTTTACTTAATGGGCAATTTAAAGATGGTGAGATGAATTCAAGGCTCTTGTTTGTGCTTTCACTTCAGTATAAAATTTGATGTACTGTACAGAGTACTGTGTTGAGTCACTGTGCTTCAAGAAAGATTCTCATCTATTTATTATAGTTATTGAAGTGAGCTATAATTTTCTCCAAGTAGTTAAAATACTTGCAGAAGTTGACCACAACTGTGTTTTAGGAGTCTGTCTAATGCCAAAACAAATCAAGTGTTTTCAGGTTGTCGTAATTCACAGTTTTGTACTGTTCCTGTGGACTGCTATCTTAACCTGCCCACTTATGCTGTTTTGGTTTTTGTTTTTTCAACAGGTATATGGTGCTACTTATTTGCAGAAGCTTTTGGAACCTTTATTAAGAACAGTGATCACATCCTCTGAATGGCAGCACGTCAGCTTTGAGGTGGATCCTACAAGGTTTGAGATTCAAGGGGGGGAACAAATGTATTTGTTTATATACTTGTCTCCCAGTCATCGTGATTCCCTTTTCATTGTTGCAGATATTTTTCTCACACTTCCATGCTTTCTGTTCCTCATTCCTCTAGGTACATTCATTGTATCTACATTTCTTAGACCCAGGGAGAGTTTACAGAGCTGTCCAGTGCAGTGAGATGAGTTCTGCTGCATGTCCTCTGAGCCCTGAGGGCTTAGAGCCCTTACAAACCTCATCTGCTTGCTATTTCATACTACTTCATACTTTTGTGTAGGCATAATGTGGCATTTTCCAGCAGTACCAGAAGGCATCTGGTTTAGGTCATTGAATTAGTTACAGGAGCAAGATGGAATGCATGTGTGTTGTGTGCAGTTTTTTTGTTTTAATTTCTCATGTCACTTCAGGACTTGGATTTAGTAACTGTTGTCAGTTGTTTTGACTTTAATTCTTAGAAAACTTTCATCATTCTTCTCTTAAAAAGCTTACCAAACAATAGGCCGCCTTTTTAATAGTTTAGTTCTCAAACATCTGTCTCCTAATTCAGGAACTGCTTTCAGAGAAACCATCAAACTGATAGTGCAGACCTCTGGAAGTGATGAATGCTTGTCTTTGTATGGAAGAGAGAGTCCAACTTAGCTGTCTATTACTGAGTTTTAAATGACCTTCTACTTGTGCAATGTAAAATATTGGTGGTGAAAGACTGTAAATGTTCCTATAAAAATTTCTGTTTACCTTGTGGAAGAAGGTTACTGCTCAAAGTACAAGTACAGCTAGTGTGATTTGTTTGATTTTCAGTCTTACGTTTATGGATCTGTTTCAGGCTGGAGCCTACAGAAAGCCTTGAAGAGAACCAGCGGAGTCTCTTGCAAATGACAGAAAAATTTTTTCATGCAATCATTAATTCTTCTTCGGAATTCCCTCCACAACTTCGCAGTGTGTGCCATTGTTTGTACCAGGTATGCCTGCAGTGGGTGCCTGCCCCTGAACTTTGGGGTTTGTTTTTTCAATTCTGACAGCTTGGTCTGATAACGGGTGCGCAGTGGTATTACTGAAAGACTTCTGTCAGAAGTTTGGTGAATAGCAGGGATCTGAGCTTGAAGACGAGATGCTGCTTTAGGACTTGAGCTGGCAGTGAGGAGGTGACTAAAGTATTTTCTTTTTTTAAGGAGTTGTGTCACAGCTAAGAACTCAGTCCTGATAATCTCAGTGTTTTAGCATCTCAAGTGGGAGACCAAAGATTAGCTAACTATGGAGGTAATGGTTATATTCGCTTCCATCAGTTTTGTCATACAGCTCCCTCTCTAGGGAAGGCAGAAATAGGGAACAAAAAAAAATCACTGCTACTTGGCAGCAGAATGCAAAACTACGTTTTGAATATAAAAGCATTGTACTTGTTCGCTTTTTATTTCTGATTTAATTGGTCTTGTTTAAATTTAATTTATTAACTTCATACCTTTGATCAGCTTCATAAGTATAATAGCTACTTGTGCAGTTATTAATCTTAAGTTCTCTGCATAAAAATAGTAGCAAATTCTTCAAGGGTATTTCACCCCTGCAGTAAATTTTTCCAAAACTGTCTATTAAATATCTTATCTAGATCACTGCTCTGGGAATAATATTTACAGGTGGACACAACCTCACATTTTACACCTTTGATAGAAGAGCAGGCTAAAAAGATCATAAAATACTTGTGAATAAATAAATTTTAAAAACAACAACAACAAAAAGCAACAAAGTTGTATGGGCTCCAGTGAGACAAAACTAGCTGAAGTCCTGAATTCTAGAAAGCATGACTAGTAGCTGATTATAGTGGAAGAGAATAAATGTCTAAAATGTTTTGGCTGTGTTTGGAAGAGTTGTAGTTATGTGTGGTTCCTTCAATAAGCTCTTCTACAGGTGAAATCAAGACATTACAGTATACAAACTTTATTCTGATCCCACTGTATCATGTCTCTTGATTAAGATCTGAAAGCAGGAGTCTCTAGACTGCTGTGGACAACTGTAAGCAAAGCCATTCACTTTTACTGGGAAGGCTGTCCACTTGCATATGATTTGGTAAATAACATTAACCTAGTAACTGGAATGCCGCAGATGCTTTGTACTTTGAGGATGATTAGGCAGAGGGAAATTGTTATATTTAAAATGTAGAATGATAACTGGAGAACATTTTAGTCTATAAAGTAAAATACCTTCCTACTGATACGGGCAGCGTGTTCTCCTGGAGTTACCGTAGGGTTGCCTGCCAGATGTGCTTTGCTTAAAGGGGTGACCGGATGTTTTCACGTACACAGTATTGATAAATAAAGAAGCAAACAGGAGGAAGAGAACCTGGAAGAGACAAAGATAAATAAATTGGTGGAGTTCTCTTCATGATGTGAATTACAAAGATTGAGTTTGTGACTTGTGGTTGTTTTGTGCTGTTGTGTCAACTTTGCAAAAGAAAATTACCAAACTGGGACTGTTCCTTTGCGTGTTCCTGGTTCCATTTATAAACGATGCTCGAACATAGGAAACCTGTGGAATGCTCCTGCTGCCTGTGGGACCTGTAGGGAATATAGTCTCCAGTCCTGGAGGAGAATGCTGTCACAGAAGAGCTGTGTGCAGCAGGCTGGGAGCTGTGAGCCCTGAGGTGTTCTAGAGGAGCAGGTGTAAAGTGCAACAGGGAAAACGGATTTTCTGAGCCTTGTCTGGAAGGAAGGCATGCAAAGGAGTTATCAGCCCTTGTTGCATGTGGGAGATAGTTGTGGAAAGTGGAAGCAGACACAGGAGAAAAAACCTTGAACTAATTATCAACAGTCAGAAAAAATTCTGTGCAGTAGGTACTACCTGTTTTTTGTAAGTGAATGCTGTATTTGCATTGTTTCAATAGAAATAATTTGTTTCTGAAACCAGATGATTGCTGGTCTTCTCCAAATCAATCAAACAAACAAGTGAAAAAAACAAATTAGCTTAGCAGTGATACTCATCAGGTATTCTTACTCTGTAAGAGGTCTGTAGCTAATTTTAATTAGTGTGGCAACATTATAGAAACAGAGATGCTGTATTCATTGGATATTGCAGACTGCACTGGCAGGTGCTGCTTTTACCAGAGCAAATTCCTAGTAAGCATTTTCACCTGGACACACACAGCTCACTGCTAGTTCTGCAGTAACTGCACCGCATTCACACTTGCTCGTTTTCAGGTGATGTATGTTCTGGAATGTTATATGGTCAAGAATGAACTGGATTATAGTCTCTTGTACAAAGAAATGGTGCTATCTCCTAAAAACATAGAAACATATGGAATTAAGCACACAAACAACATGATTTTTCTTAATAAAGAGAGATGGAAATTTTAGTTCCTTTGAATGAAGTAGCATGATGAGTAGAGATGGATAAGACTATTTTTGAAATTAACTGTTTCCTTCTGGAAATTACACAAGGTCAGAAATGGTAAATGCACCATTGATTAAATATTAAAAGGTCTTGAATAATTTTGAACTCATCAGTTGGTTAGTTTCGCTCATTTGCTTTTACTCTGTCACATTTTTAAGCTACAGGAATTCTCTTCCAGTTCTTTTCTCATCTGATAAAGATGTTTGGACTCTCGGTGTGTGCTTGATCTCAAACCACCAAACACTGTAAGCTTTTCTATTGATAGAGCTCCAACCATCTGGTGATGCTAGTTTACTGTGACAGCCTTTATGGAAGATGGAGGGTTGAGCTCCAAGAGCAGGATGTTCCTCTTTGAGGGCAGCAGCAGAAGGCTGATGTGCTGTAGCTTTGCTCAGATCCTGATGTAAAATACGGGAGAATGTGGTGCTTTGTGGTGGGTCCGTTTGCCTTGAAATTAACATAATCGAAACGAATATCTAGACTGTCATGTAGACCTGCTTTTTTTTTTTTTCCCTCCATTTTTCACAGAAATGTGTTTATTGTTAGTGTTATCAAAGTCATAATAACCGTGATGAATCACAGATTAACCAAATTGAAGGACACACAGAGAAACGTTGGGAAGATTTTAAACTCTAAATTTATTTTAAAAGTTAATGCGCATTTCAAAGGTATAACACTTTGTTATTTGTACTATTAAAATTATTTGGGAATGGTGAATTGCATCTGAAAGCTGAACATACAACTTAATGCCCTATATTGTATATCATGAACACTTTAATGTGGTTTGACTTTTAATCTAGCCAGAAATAGTAGAAATGATTGAAACGCAACATTTGCTTGTTTTATATTTAGTGCTTTGTAAACAAGATTTAATTAAAAAAAAGTGGAATAAAACCTCCATCATCAGTCTTTAGTTTATATATTTCATTTTCTGTTGGTTATGTTTGTTACATTTTACTGTGCAATTTACGTACAAGTCAACATTGGTTTTTTGTTGCTGTATGTAGTTGGTGCTGTGACTTGTTTGTGCTCATCTCTGTTCTGTAGGCAACTTGCCACTCTCTACTGAATAAAGCTACCGTAAAAGAAAAAAAGGAAAACAAAAAATCAGTAAGTTTGGAGACCTTTTTACTAGCCATTTCTTTCAACCCACAACAGAAATCTTTTGCTGTTTGTTCAAAACATCTTCACTTTAGTCTGTTTGAACTCACTGTGAAATCATTCTACTAATTCTGGCACAAAATAGCTTTCATTTCAATTAACACTGGAATTAAGTTATATTTAAAATATTCTCTGTGTGCCTATCTGAGTAAACAAAAAGACATTTTTAACATTACTTCTTAGTGTGTAATATTCTGATTCCTCTACCTTTGCCATCTTCAAATTAAAAAAAAAAATAGAGGAGGAAAGTGTTTTCTTTTTTTCGGGGAAAATCTGAGTCTGTTTAGTTGTTGTAATGCTTTAGTAGGTAACGACTTCAGCTTGCATCCTGCCGGAAGAACAGTTAACTGATGAATTGCTGGAGAAAAAAAAGCTCCCATGACTTATTTCGGATATTTTTGTTTGTTTGCCTTGTGAGTAAGCAATAAAATTTAGCATTTGTATTTACTTAGAGAAGACAAGCAGATTTCCCATTGCAACTGACTTACTGGAAATTGTGATGAAGTGGTGTCATTAAAAGCTGAGGCTTACCCTTTTCTTTAACAGTGACTTCAAAACATAATGTAAGAATAAAACTGAGTAGAATGAAAATTTGGGCTTTTATTAAATACTCCCTTACATTTTGCAGTAGCTGGGCAGAACAGTAACGTGTGGAAATAGAAAATATCTCTGCAAACTAATATTTTACAAGAACGTATTATCAATAACTGATTCACAAGATAACTGTGAATGAAGTTGCTACTGAACCATAGTGATTCTTGATATGTTATGTATGTGCTAATGGCTTTAACTGTTTTAAGAAGCATGATTTGAGATTGCTCTGGTTTTTGTTTGAAGTATGGGAAACTGGGGAGTGTTTGTGTTCTATGCAAACAATTTAACTTTGCGTATGAAACTGCTGATTTTGTTATGTGGAAACATAGAATCAGATTTATTATTATTAGCTGTTAGTTTTACAAAAATGTGTATAAATATTGAATTTTCTTATGACATTGCCCACTCAGCTTTGGACCATTCTGTGTTTCCTTCTTTGACAAATCTGATGAGATACGATGGAGATGGAGAGTATTTCAACAAATATCTCCTTCCCTCAAATTCAGGTTATTCCTGAAACTTTGTTTCCTATTGATGGAGAGGACCTTGAAAATAGAAGTGAAAAGACCTAAGAATCTAAAAAGAATTATCTGTGTTTCTTTGGAATACTGCATGCTTGAATACAAACATAAGGCATTTGTCTACTTGTCATTGGCTTAAGTAGTCAGTAACTTGGAATTTTGTGTTCAGAAATTGACCCCAGCGAGGAAGTTTGTGTGAAAGCTGAAGTAAACCTAGCCTGTGTCTGCACAGCCATCTCTCCCTTTCTCTGCCTTCCTTCTCTTTCTTGATTGTCGTGCAATGCAAGACCTATCAAGGCAAGAGAATCCTACTCAGACTTGTTGAGCTTGGCTACTATGGAAAGAATACATAATGTGGGACTGCCATCGAGACTTTTCTGCAGTTGCTTTCCCTTTAATGCAAATACATTGTTTATAATGCTTTGTAGGTTGTTAGTCAGCGATTTCCTCAGAACAGCATTGGGGCGGTTGGAAGCGCCATGTTCCTGCGGTTCATCAACCCTGCGATCGTCTCCCCGTACGAGGCAGGGATTTTAGATAAAAAGCCTCCGCCCAGAATTGAGAGGGGACTGAAACTGATGTCAAAGGTGAATCAGCTTCTCTCTTTATTTGACCGTATTTCATATTCTACCTGCAATAATTCTCTTCTTTGGTGGAGTGATGTGAGGAACGTTTAGTTGAACTTATTTTTGTGCGCTGGAGATCATATTTGAACTGCAGCTTGCTGCTTTTACACATCATAACCTTATTTGAAAACAACATTATTTCCGGAGTACAGAGAATATGCTGATATTGATTAAGTTCATACAAGTCCTAAAGAAGTGACCTTTTTTTTCCCCCTGTCTTGAATCTCAAGATTGGTAGTTTAATGGTTCTGTACTTCTGTGACCTGCGTGTGTTTTTAATGTTGAGAAATGGTGATTTTCTTTAAATAAGCATATATTGCCTTTATGCCTGTCTGAGTGAAGTCTTATCCTAATATTTATAATAATGTAAAAGAAGATACTTCAACTTAGTTGTCTTGTGTGGCTTTTTTTTTTTGTTTTGAGGTTTCACAGCAACTTAAGATAGGTATTTCTGGTAGTGAAGTTATGCTGGCTATCGTAGCAGTTTTGACATTAAGCCTTTCTGCGCCCTTACCTGTTCTTTATTGCTGTTTAGATACTTCAGAGTATTGCCAACCATGTCCTGTTTACAAAAGAAGAACATATGAGGCCTTTTAACGACTTTGTAAAAAGCAATTTTGATGCAGCTCGAAGGTAGGTCCTTTGGGAACTTCTGCAAAGGATCTTTATTGTGTAAACTGTAAGCAGAGATGCATTCTTATGGCCTTTTAACTCGTGCCTACGTGACAGATTTCCCTAATATGTTTATGGCAATCACTGGTTTTGATCTCTAGGTTCTTCCTTGATATTGCGTCCGATTGCCCTGCGAGTGACACCGTCAATCACAGCCTGTCCTTCATCAGCGATGGCAATGTTCTTGCTTTGCACCGGTTGTTGTGGAACAATCAGGAGAAAATTGGCCAGTACCTTTCCAGTAATAGGTAAGGCTTAGGAATGCTATGTAAGGAACTGCTAATTGGGAATGAACGTTTGGAATTTGGAATCAGATGTTTTTGTGGTTAATATTGAGAAGAATTTCATTGATGGAAGTCTTACCTTTGGGAACTTCTTTTTTTAGTTTTTTCTTTCCTTACTTACAGCCCATTAGTGGGAAAGGGTCTGAAGCGTTTGGCTTCTTTACTGCCAGCTTTCTGTGCACTTCCATAGTTGTATCTCAGTGTCTGTCATGTGGTTTGTAGAAATAACATGTAATGCATTTTTCTCATTATTCCTCTTAGGAAAAAAAAAAAATAAAATTCAAACTCTAAAAAAGAAAATATAGCTTCTTCAAGATAAGGGAGGATATTGGGCAAAACACTACAAGAATTACTGAGTAAAGAAAGATCTATCTTTAAGAAATTTGCTGTTTCTAGGGACCACAAAGCTGTTGGAAGACGACCTTTTGACAAAATGGCTACTCTTCTTGCCTATCTGGGTCCACCTGAGCACAAACCTGTGGCAGATACACATTGGTCCAGTTTAAATCTCACCAGTTCAAAATTTGAAGAATTTATGACAAGGTAATGAGATTATTATGGGCTTTTAGTCTTCAGCATGTTGAGTAACATATGTAGTTATTAAGCCTGCAGCTTTCATTCTGAAGGAGTGTTCAAAAAGTTGGCTTCACACACACCTGCTGTGGTTGTAAGTAGATTTTAATAAATGAGAAACCTTGGTAGCTTTTGTGATTTAACGAAGGTTCAAGATTTTATGAACTTAATACTTCTGTTTAAAGATGCAAATAGAGGGTTTGGATTTTGCTAGTTTGTTTTTTGTAAGGCAGTTGTGAAAAGTTGATGTCATGTTCTACTTCTTAGGCATCAGGTGCATGAAAAAGAAGAGTTCAAAGCATTGAAAACGTTAAATATTTTCTACCAGGCTGGGACATCTAAAGCTGGCAATCCTGTTTTCTACTACATTGCTCGGCGGTAAGGAATCTTTCGCCTACCCTGTCTAAAATAAACATGCAAAATCAAAAGTATCAGGTGTGTATGTGAAGTGACACAACCAGGACTCTGAAAGTAGCTTATCTGCTAAATTTTGGAGACCATATTTTTGAACTGTGATTTGGAATTAAATTAGAACTGTTGTAGCTCTTACACCCTGGGCTGTATGGGTGCCTGTAGGAATATACCTGAAACTTTAAATGAATTTTATTTATTTTTTCACTGTTTGAAATAAACCACGTTACTATTTACCCTTCAACCACATTACTGTTAAGCCTTTATCAGTGATTATAACATCTTCACATTATGAAGTATGATGAATAACAAGTTAAATGTGAGATAGGGTTTCTCAAAAAAATCCACGTATCCCATTTGAAAGAGTAATACAAGTACTTACAAGGTTTGTGTCCAGTGAACACCATAGTGTTGCTTCAGTTATTCATAACAAGTAGCATGTTGCAATACTGAATTTAGGAAGAATATCCCAAGGTTAATGTTAGTCAGTTTATGATCAAACAAGTAGTAATTCTCTCTGTTTAGATCTGTGTTTAATTCAAATGAAATAAGGCTGCAAAGGTGCTACTACAGTAAGAATGTGAATGAAACTTGGTATTTTAATTCAGTTATTAAATAATGACCTTTTAAGATCTGTGGATCTGTGAGGACAGCATGTTCAAAGCAGTATCCATAGAAACTGAGAATGATTTTAAGTACTGAGCACAGACTTGTTAACGAAAGGAGAGTCGTTGTGCTCACAGCCATGTGAGAGGCTGTGTCACTGAGCTCGCTGCTGGTGCCTTTTTCCTCTGGGCAGCATTGGTGCTGCCTTTGCTGTACCCCAGTGCTGCTGCTGGGACCTCGTGTCCACGTGGCACCACCCATGCTGTCAGGTCTCGTGGATGCTGCTGTGGTCGGATTGTTGCCTTGCCTTTTGGTGCCCCTAGGGTTCATGGTTGTGCTTCTGCTGCTATTGCAATGTGATTTTTGCTGGTGCTGGTGGGTACAGAGCCGTGCCAACATAGCTGCCCAGCACTGCTCCTGACACACTGTTGCTTCTGCTGCTGCTGGGATGTTTGTGTGCTGGCAGTGGGGTGCTTGCTTGCTGTACCATGTTAGCAGGTGTGCAGTCAGAGCGATGGTGCTCCTGTTTGTTGCTGTGAGGCTGAGCAGCTTTTGTGGTGCCCGAGCTGGTGGCTGTGGCCTGCTGCTCTGTGAGGCCTCTTCCAGGTAATGGTGTTGTGAACTGTCAGCAGAGCCTCTGAGTGCACGTGGCGAGCTGAGGAAGGCATTTCTTGGTGGCATATTCTGTTTGTATTAAACAATTTATGTGAATGGTCGTTTGGGTAAGGTGATCATAAGGTGGAGAAAAAAGGAAGTCTGACATAGCTCATCTGTGTGGAAGTAGACCGTGGATTGAGAGCAAAGTGCCCAAGTTTCTTGTATACTTAATGAATATGTAAGCCTATGCCAATCAAAGGAATACTAAACGTAAAGAAGCAGTCACTACATAAATTTTGTTTTCTTTCCCACTTCTCTCTGCACTGTTTTTCAACAATTTATTGTTCTGAATTAGAAACTATATAAGAAAATGTAAGTAAGTAAGCCTTTCATTTTCCTTTATTTTTACTTGGGGAAATCAAACCTTATGTTTGAGCGCTGCGTCTATGCTAGGCGGTAGAGAAAACATGAATGATGCCTGAGAGGTTGAGCTGTGATACAGAGTTGACAGTAAAATGAGTGTATCCAGTGCCAGGACTGAAACTAAGTTCTTTTTTTTCCCTGGAGGCTTCTGCAACACACAGTTACAAAAGTTCAGCTAAGGACCCATTTTTAATTGCTCCATCATGTAGGTGACTAGCCTGTTGTGAACGCTTAGAATAACCCAGAGATAAGCGATTTTGAAGTTTGTTTCTGCATAAGCTTCAAAAAGGGTATGGTGTTCTTGGGACAGCGTGGTTCAGCTCAAATAAATTTGTTTTTTAAAGCCTGCAGGTTGTTTAAGACAACGTCACTAACCTGAATGTCAGTAGAATTTTAAGGACTATAGGATGTATTATGTTCAGACCCCTTCTAAACTAGTTGTGCTGCTCTCAATAGAAAAAAAAAAAACCAAATACTTGACATTGGAAATACAGGAATAAAAATGGATGTTTAGAAACTCTGATTTTTCTCCCAGTTGTTGTGTTTGTTCACTGCTGTAATTGAATAAGCTTGAAAAGTTGTCATACGTCTGCGGCAAGTTAGAAGGGTCAGCTGGGTCATTTCAGACCTCAACTCCTACCTGCATTTATTGCTCCTTCCTTCAGTTCTGTCAAAGGCATTTTGGAAACTGCTTCTCTGAGACTCGTGCATGTATCCATTGTGAGAAAAAGCAGTCTCTTTAGGATGGAAAAAAGCAGAATGTATACTTTCAGAAATACTTCAGGTTTTCAAGATAACCAATCCTTTTGTTGAGGAAAATGGGTTGGAACTTGTTCTCTCTGCCCTCCTCCATATCTTACGGAAGTTATATCGACTGTATGACAACAAAAATAAAAATACGCCTCCATTATATGTGAATAAATATGATTTCTGTTGAAATATATTTAAAATTGCTGTTGTACCCTGGCATAGTTAATTTTGGTGTGAGTGAGCCTGTTGAAATAAGACTTTTTCTACCTTTCTTCAAGTGAGATGCGTAGTGAACACCAATAGATAAGTGAAGCAAACCCTGAATACTTGGAATTTATTCAGCTTCTGCTTGCTTCATCTGAGAAAACGTATGATCTTTAGTGTCATTAAATGCTGATTGTGATTTGGATGTCTGATGCTCCTTGATTAAGGGGCCAGCTCTGTGTGTCAATGTTGTATACAGGGGTTTGGGAGAAATCTGTCCAGGTTTGGGCAAATTGGTAATGGGCCAGAATAAAGCAGAATGTGGATTATGAGGCTGGATGGCAGCTATTTGTCATGCCAGTTACTATTTATTGCCTTTATCACCCTTTTTATTACTACTTCTCTTGGGCTGCTATGTAAGCCTGTGGTTTCTTTCCACGAGGCTGCTGTTCAAACCTAGCAGGTGGGACCCCTTCTCTGCGCTGTCTCTACAAACGGGGACATGGCTGGGAGGTGCTCCTTTGGGGTTCTGAGTTCTGAGCCAGATGTCATGTTCTGAGGTGTGAAATGTGGAAAGGCTGTTCAGGTCTGAGCTGCCAGTACATCTGAGGGCTTGCAGCAGGCAGGTTTTCTTTTTTAGCTTAAAGCCTTGTTGCTAGGGCATTGTTGAGTCATTTCTCTGACATATCTGGATCAGTTGATATCCTCTTGTGCTGTGAAATTTAATCTCTTCTGCCTTTTTTTGTTCCCTGGGTAACAACCAGACTTCCAAAGCCAGTGCTCTCTGTCTTTAATCCTTGCTCTGTTACTACAGTGATCAATACCTCAGTATATATTGATCCTGAAGTACTGCCATTAAGTTTTGAAGCTGCTATCTCAGACTAATTAATAGGAATCATGTGAACAGAAACCTCAGAGTTGTTTCACACTGCAGCTGCCCATGCAGCAATTTTAGCCTTCTGAAAGCAAACGTGTTTCTGCATCAAGGCGTGCTGGATCACGTCTGGAGCAGCCAACAGATAAAGACAGCAGCATTTTCAAAAAGATATTGAATGTTATATTGAAGTGTTAGTTATTTTGAAACAAAGAATTTCCTGAGGATGGATTATGGTATTTATATTTATTGTGGACTGAGTGCCCTGCCTGTTAGAAGCACAGCAAGCTGTTCTGCAGTGCTCACATCCATGCGTGTTGATTTTATTTCAATCTGACTGTGCTGTTGCCAAGCAACAGGTGCCTGCCTCCCACACTGCCTGCCTACTTGTGCTCTGTTATCAACTCATTTGTATTCCAGAAAAATACAAGGGAATCCAAATTTAATCTGCCTATTGAAGGCAGTCTGACTGAGAAGCCCTCTTTGCTTGCATCTACCAAGGGCAAGTTTTGGATATAGAGCATGGCCCTGGAGTTTGAAGGGAGTGCCATCTCACTTCCATCACATCTGTGATTTCCCCCCTCTATATATATATATATAATTTTTTTTTTTTTTTTTTTAAGATGAAAAAAGGAGTGCTTTCTCTGGTGGGTAGGCATTGGTCTGAGGGGTTTGCAAGTTCTAAATGGTAAGAAGCAGAAGGGCAGGGTATTATTATTTCAGCAGCTTATTAATAAACAGTGTTAGGGAAATTTGAGTAACCAAATAGTACTATTTGATCATACCATAGTTTTTCTCTGTAAGACATAAAGACTGAGCCAAATGCCCGCTTGGAACAGATCTGTGTAATAAAATAGCATCTGTTCTGTACAGTTACCTGTCTGCAAGATAATAGTGAAAAGAAGCACTGTCACTAGTTCATTTCAATACAAACATAGCTTTATTTTTACTTTAGTGCCAATGAAATAACTGTACAAATTCATTGTGCAACATTTACAGTACTATTAGAAATTAAAACACATTTCTGATTATAGAAATACAGTTCACAATTGGAAAGTTGTGATTTTTCTGATACCAGTAGTTATAAATCATCTACAGCCTTGAGTGATACCTAGGAGAAATAGGTAAAGGACTGCAGTCTTGGTGTTGAGGTTTTCTAGATTTTGTGGCACCTTTGTGCTACGATAACTGGAAATTAAATGGCCTGAAATGCTTGGAAAATATTGAATAAAGATTTGCAATATTAAGTGAATAATACTCTTACAATTAACTTGTTCTTCAGTTTTCATTTCATGCTGTTTGCAAAACTTCATCAGTAGTATATCAAGTACCTTTGCCATGTAATTTTCCTGGAGTGGCCAGAACCATGCGTGCATCTACTACTTGCTGATGGCGCGGATGTCAAGGAGAACAGCATTCGTGCTCATCGTTGGAAGGCCTTGGGCATGTTCATTGCCATGGCTTGAATTAAATCTTAAGTCACAAGATTCAGGAATTGTTTAAATGAGAGCTTTAAACTGCTCCATTGATGTGTTACATAACTTGCATTTGAAACTGGCCAATATTTTATTTTATTTTGATCAAAAAGTAGTTTGAAGAATTCTGGACGAATTTTGTTGAAGTATTTCAGATGTTTGATTGTAAGTTAAGCTGTTTGGTTTTGTTAATGTATGTAGATTAAAGCCCGTGTTATTGGAGAGTGTCATGGCATTGAACGTGTCGCGTTTTCCTCTACTTCTATCTTTTTTTGTTTTCTATTATGGAGAGCAAGGAATAACTTGCCTACAATTCTAAGTCAAGGCAGAGCAAAAAGAGAGATCAGCCCCTACCACTCTTCCCATGCTGAAGCTGGACCGTGTTAGCATCTCAGTTAAGCCCCTCTTAGTAGATGGACATGGTGGCATTGTCATATTTAATTCCTAAATTCAGAATGGTTGTTCTTTGTATTTAAAATATCCTAGTACATATGAAGCAAACATAGATATACATGCTAGCGATTTTTCTCAAGAATTACTTCTGATTAGCAAAACAGCTAAGTTTAGTTTCTTTACATTTTCCCTTCCTTATGCATGGCATCATAACTTACAAAGAATCTCTGCTGCTATAGTACAAGAATTTCTCACCAGCAAATCAAGCAAGACAATGCAGATATGATACAGGACTTCTGTTTTTTTCCAGTTGTTTAGTGACAAAATAATACAATCAGTACTTAAAATTCTGTGCAAGTAAAATTAAAAATTTAAATACAAAATAAGCACATCTTAAAAAACAAGAGCATAGGTTAATTTTACTCAATTAAGACATATTAAAATAAGTAGCAGCTTAGTATCGAGACATTAGTCTGCACTTCTTTAGGAACTGTTACTTTCTTTAGATCAGTCAGAACTTCAGACTTCTCGTGTTTTGATTTGCTGTTTGACCTGGATGCCTCCCCCCCAGCTGCGTGTCACAGGAGTAACCTCAGAGCTCCTACCAATAAGCACTGCCACTGCATTAAGCATTACAGCATAAAACAAGCACATCTCGCAGGCGCTCGCTTTGGAGGGCACGTCAGTGTTCAGAACGCTGGTAGTGGCTTCCTCTCTCCTTAAGGTAGCGGTTGTGCTTTGAGGCGTTCTGGAGTAGTTTGTTGGCATTCCACTGGTAATACTAAGAGTCATTGGAGTGCTGGATGATCCCGTTGAATGAGTCAGGCTTGAGTTCACATCGGTTGAATCTTTAATGTGGATGCTGTGTGTGGCAGCCGCTTCGTAAGCGCTGACCTTCCTGGTCGTCAGCTCTTCGGGGTAGAGGAGCACGGGCCGCTCTGTGCTCGTGAACAGTACTGTCTGGCTTAACGAAGCCAAGGTAGTAACTTCCTTTGCTTTAAATAGTTTATGCATTTTTGTCATGTGGGTCGGTTCAGCTGCCGCTGGAGAGGCAGCAATGTCTGCTGCCTTCATTCCTTTAATCATGAAGCTGGCATCTGGCGCGGCGGCGGAGGTCGGCGTGATGTTGGCCCACAGCGTGGACTGGTCGGCGCAGGGAGCCCCTCGCACCCTGGCAGGGGTGCCCTGCACCCATTTAAGCAAATAAGAGATATTTTGTTCATCGCTGCAGGACCACGGGTTGTTGTATAGTGTTACTACCTGCAGCTGAAAGAGCTGATCAAAAGCTTTGTCAGGAATGTATGTGAACTTGTTGTTGTGTAGGTAGAGACTTGTGAGGTGCTGTAATCTCACCAGCGTTCCTGGAAGTATCTGAGACAAGAAGTTATTGGATAGATCCACTGTCTCTATGTTGTAGGGCATGTTGGTTGGAACTGTCCAAAGTTTGTTGCTGCTGAGGTTGAGAAACTTGAGACTGCTCAGTGTGTTGTTGATCAAAACAGCTCTTTCCACCATATTCCTGGAAACATCCAGCACTCTAAGGTTCCACTGGTAAGCTGTGTCAAGTTTCTGAAGGACCTTAATGTTGTTATTTATGGCATACAATTCCCACAAGGACTTGGGCAGATGAGCAGGAACATTCTTGAGCCAATTATTTGAAATATCAAGAGTCCTTAAATTGCTGAATCTCGTCAGCTGATGATCGAGATCTATGAACTGGTTAAACGACAGATTTAAATATGTAATGTTGTCTTGGAGTCCGTGTGGCAATACTGTTAAGTTTCTGCCTGAGCAGTCCACGTTCCTGTTGTTTCCTGAGCATGTACAGATAGAAGGACAGATACCCAGAACAGTGGGTATGAAAAATAGAAAGACCAGCAGGCAGGTAGATGCTTTCAGTATCTGGTGTTCCATTGCTGCCTAAAAATAAATATACAAAAATGACACCCTTGAAATCCATGTAATGTATTTTGTTTATTTGTAAGGGCTGTCTTTGCAGTGATTAGTTGCAGCAGAAATTAAGTAAAAATATCAATAAACCCCTTTGTGGCACGGTCCTTTTTGTAATTGTTCAAGAGAGACTTTACAAAGCATCCCTTCAGAGCCTGTCATGTTGTCTGGCAGAACGAGACTTGTTTTTTCATCTGCCTTTCCCCCTCAAGCTCAAATGAGGGCTTTCTTCCGAAAATGCAAGTCTCTTCCAAACGTTATACAATGTCTGCTTCTTGTTTTTAGTGATTTCAAGCCTATATTATGTTTGGAATAATGTGTTCTTTTATACAGGATGAAAAAATGGCTGTCAACTGAATCTGCTTTACAAATCTCTGCAGTAATGTAGCAGAACCCCCCATCCAGGCATGCTCTTTGCTTAAGTAGAATTGCTTAAAATACATCTTAAATTGGTTAGGAATTTAGTTGGAAACCCAAATTCTGCATTCATAGTAACATGCACATTAGTACTTTTCCTTATTATCGTGTCAGTTACATTCCCAAAGCTAACACATGTTTGAAAGCTGAATTAATGTTAGTAAGAAATCTCTGACACTGCAGCAAATTCCTGGTGCAAGCATCTCTCATCAACTAATAATTTCGTTCTTATTTCTGTCTCTACTTTTGTAGTAGGTTTTGTGATTAAAAACAGAAAACACAAACTTACCGTAATGTCTTCTGCAATATCAGCACATTATTTCTGTGAAAGATTTAAGCTTAGAGGTCGTCTTGTTCTAGAGAGTAGCTACAGTTGCTGTCTGTGGATTGTGCTTGCCTCTTCAGCTGCATCGTATTGCTGCTAGCTGGGGCTCTGCAACCACCTGATCTGCACTACATTGGAGGACTGCAGAGCTGTCGCTGGTGCTGACTCAAATTTATTGCAAAGCATACATATTCAATAAAATAGTTGGGTTTTCTAATTTGAATCAGTTAACTTCTTTATGTGTTTGTAGCCGCGATACTGCATCAAAACATTACATATAAAATTTTCTTAGCTTAGTGTATGAACCCATTTAAATGTTTCTATTTTAGAAGTCCTGTGAATTGTGCTCTTTTCTGCTTTCATTTAGTCTCTGTTCCAGTAAGAATGGTTAGTGTTAATTTAGGTTTCCTATCTCGAGCTTACTTAAGCTACCCTGCCAGAATATCTTTTCCTAATTTAAAAATCCTTGGTTTTGTGCTGCTTGGATCAGGTTGTCTCTGTGTTGTTGGGTTTATACCCAGCAGCACATACTGCAGGAATTTACTGCTTTCTAAGGAAATCTTTATCTGCTTTGCTCCAAACAATATGGCAAGGGTATGCATAGTTTGTAATGCACACATTTGTCACATATAAAATATATGCATATATTTTAACATGGTGCAATGCATAAAGCCTCAAAGTCTTTGAGCGACCAGAATGCGGTTGGAATGGAATGTCCATTGTAACAGGTATGAACAGGTGGCCTATGTGACATCCAAACATGTTCCCTCCCCCAGCAAACTCAAAGCTGCAAGTTCTTTGTCATTTTGCAGAGACGTCACGGAAACCTAGCATTAGTATCTAGCACCTTCTCTCTACAAATCTTATCTTTCTACAAATCTAGGCATTAAATGCAAGTAAAATATGCATGCTTGTAATTTACCTCTGCATGGTTCTGGACAGGGTAGTGAACTTATCTCATACTTGAGGCCCAGAAAGGATGGGCCAATCTGGGCACTTGGAATTAAAGGAACCTGCAATCCAGACAACCTTAAACCAATTTTTAAAGATTAATTACATTGAATCCATTCTGAAAATCCTGCTTGAGAGGAACAAAAGGAAGAAATTGGTAAACATGTGCAGCTAATTCTGATAGTTGTCCGTCTGGATGTTCTGTGAACTGTTTGTTTCATCCACCAAAACCAGCGTCTGGGTAAAACACCACCTTTTTGTTTTTCATGTGTTTGGAGTCATATCCTCTTTTTCACAGCCACTATACTATCAAAAATACGCTATTATACTACTGAAAAATAAAACAAAATAATGAGAGTTTTTACAGTATGCATTTCATCGGCTTTGATCTGGACTGCTGGCTGCTGAGGGCTTTGCTTTAAATACCTGTCATCCTCTGTTCCCAAGTGGCTCCTCCATCTGACGCAGAAAACAGACCTCTGTATGAGGCAGTCTGTATGTATGCATGCCAGAGCATTTAGACTGTTTTGAATTAGAAGCTTTGTATCTAAGCAAATAACTCTGTTATGCTTTAAGCAACCAAAACATCTTCGAATTAGAAAGCTTTATTAAAATTAACTTGAATTCATTGCGTTCATTTACGTAGTCTAATAGAACAAACCTTTGCAAGAAGCTCTGAGCCCCTCTAAAGTTTCACTGTGCACATCCATGGGTGTGTTGCATGTGCTGAACACAGAGGTACACACAGTTTTCTGCAGTCTCCAAAATTGGGAATCATTTGTTATCTGCACAGTGGAGTCACTATTAGGCCATGCAGTGGCACCAGGCGTGCTGTATTCTGCCAAGATTTGTTGCAGGCAGAAAGGGATTCTTCCCTTTTGTGAAAGCTGAAGTTGAGAAATGCCGGGGAGCTGTTGCTCTTGCTGTGGTTTCGCTGTTCTTGCCTGTGTCAACTTCTCCATTACTCAGTTATTTGAAGAGTGCTTCGTTTAAGAAAAATGAGAAGCGTTTTGGAAAGTTATTTTGGCACAGTCTACTGAGGCTGTTCTGGCCGTGGCGGAGGTTCACAGATCTCTTCAGTACTTTGGAGCGGTGGGGGATACGGTTCCTTCACTTCCGAGTGAAGTTCCTCTTGCTGGCCAGGATCAGCGGCGTGCTGCTCGGCCGGCTCAGTGAGCTCAGTGAGCCACGCAGGGGGAGGCGGCAGCTCGAGGCCCTCGGCAGGCTGTGGGTGCAGCACCTGCTCTGGGCTCGCTGCTTCTGGGCCGGGAGCCGCTGCTGCAGCAGGGTCGGTGGCGGAGCAGCTGTGCTCTGCTGCGGGCTGCTGCCTGCAGGTGTTGCTGGCCGTGCCGTTGGGGGGTTTCTCCGATGCGGGAGGGTCGTGCTGTACGGATGCTTCTTCTCTTAATTTCCAAGGCAACATAAATAAAACGGACAAACGCTTGGTAGCCTGGCCGGAGTCCACAAAGGTATCTGGAGTGTCTCCGTCTGCAAACGGAGACTGACCTGCCCAGTTTGAATCGGCTAGCAATGGCTTCTTGCAGCGTTTCCATATAACAATCATACTAATAGCAATTACCATACCAACCAAAACAATGCCCATTATCATTGCTGCCACCCAGCTCCCGTTGGTGGGCTCTATGTGTGGTTCGGGCAGCTGTGGCAGTGTTGTCGCAGCAGTCAGCGCTCCTGCAGGCTTCTGCATGCTGGGGCCGGTTGTTTGCAGTTGGTACTTGGTAGATCTGTCCTCTGCCGGGCTGCTGGTGCTGGTATGCACGATGCTTTCACTTGTGGAAACATTTGAAGGTATTTCAGTGGAAAGTGATTTCCAAATTTCTCCACAGAAGAGAAGCAATATTACTGTGTTGCTGACCATTTTCCTGCAGTCTGTTTAAGTACGTCTCCTACATCAAGAATAAAGTAAAACACATTAAATTGAACCTGAAGTGACACTACTGATACTACTGATACTGAGACAATTTTATATTTAGAGTCTAAAACAAATAGGCCAAATTAAACTCGCATGCTTATTGTCATTTGTATGGTTGACAGCTTTGTCTCTGATATCAATATCATTGTGGGTTTTTTTGTTTTCCACCTTCTCTGAAAAAGGTGTTTGGTGAGAAGTGCAAAGCGTTTCAAAATAGCTTTTATCTGTCACAGAAATGATTATGGATGTGAAATGAAATACGAAACACAGCAGTACTGACAAACAAGAGTAAAGAAAATTGCCCTACTTTATACCTGAAGGACTGAGAGAGAAGCCTAGAGATAAGCTGAGACCTGGGTGAAAGGTTCTTTAAGGTCTATTTCCTGTTCTTCCCTCACTTGCGCAGTTAAGGTTAGAGTGCAATAATTCTGCAAAAGTTTCCAAATATTGCAACTATAATGGTACAGAACTCCAATATTTAACTGTCTTTGTAAAAAAAACTCCTGCACCGGGGAAGGTTCTGTAACGAAGGAGGTTGTGTTAATGTTAGGAAGTTGGGATGGAGCAGACTTTTTTTCCTGTGCTGCTCGGTGTTCAGGTTTCTGAATTTCTGTGTGATGCAAATCATTAAAATACAGACACCTATTGTGATTTTACCTGAAGTTACTTTGTGTGTTTTGAGATAATTTGTGATCATGCTGCTCTTGTGAAGCTGCGCCTGGAACCTCAGTATGTGAAACTATGAAAGTCAATTTCAGATGCAACGATGCAAACATGTATGAGCAGCAGATTAATGCTTCTAGAGATCACTATCTAAACGTAAGATTTAAAATAGATAAAAAGGACCCCATTTTATTTTCTTCTGCTCAAAAATATATTCTGTTTTAAAATATATTGAAATGGTGCGTATGTGTAGAGTTCATGATAGTTCACAGTAGCAACACCTTAGGAACTGGATGGAATGTCTGCATCTTCCAAATACTACAGGAACTTTGAATTAGCTTAGGAAGTGCTGTACAAAGTGCAGTTCATTTAAAAATAAATAATGCAAATATTAAGTCTTTACATTTTGAATTTGATTCTTACCTTTGTCTTCTGTCAAGCAAGCATTCTCTTATTTTTTGTTTGAAGCCTTAAGAGGACAGGCTATGCTAGGAGTCGAGCAGCTCTGAAATGGCTTGTCTCACGTTGAAGCAAGTTTCTGCAGCTAAAGAGGAAGTTTACCAACACTTGCTGCAGGAAGTGTCAAGAGTAGGAGGATTACTAAGAAGCTTAGCTCAAGGTTTGCATGATTTAAAAGCAGACTTTTCAGTTCAATTCTGTTTGTAAAACTCAAATATTTAGGTGGCCTTTGTTGGGTATGTGTTATGTAGGAATTCGTGAATGCTTGTTTTCCAGTCCTTGCTGAAAACAGTTGTGCTTACAAATTTTTTTGAATGACACAGAAGTAAGTTTGGATTGGATTTCATTTTTACTAATAAAAATTCAGTGGTGGTTTTGATGAGCTATCATTGTTATTAATGGAAATGCAACCATAGGCTCGCTACAGTGAGTCATAGAGCACTTCTGATCACGAGGTGCTGGCTTGCACATCTTCCTTCAGGTAGCTGTGTTACAGGCAGATAGCTGCAGATCTCACCCTTCCTCTGCCTCCCCTTCCCCACTTTGCTTTTCTGTCTGGACAGTGTTGGTGCCTCTTGCCACCATTAAAGGAGGACTGCGTGCTCTAAGCAGTTGTTTTTCTGCTGTCTCTTTTCCGTATCATAACCCAAACTACTTTTTTGTCTCCTTGAGTGTTTTGGCCTGCTGAAGAAACGTGTATGTCTGTCCTCACAGCATTTTGCAAGTGCATTCTTGTGCCTTCCACTATATCTATTCCATGTCCCATGCCTGCTGCTGTGCTCTGCTGGCTGTGCTGGCTGTGCTGGCTATTTTCCAGTCTGTTGCCAACTCCTGCTGCACATGCAAATCCTGATATTATGACACACACTTTCTTGAGTCTTACCTCATTCAAGTTCCCTTCAATCCTCACAGTTTCCACCTGTTTTTGGCTGCAGATCCCACCCTCGTTACTGTTTCTTTTCCTTCTTTCCACTGATAGGATCGTGATTCTCTACTTTTTTCCTGCTTTTCCGTGATACTGTGGTTTTACCCCTCGTGACTTGGAGAAAAAACAGAATGTAAACTTTATTTAAAATTAATTTAACATTTTACTGATGTTTCTAGTTTATTGATGGTTACAAAAAGGAGTTCTTATATTTTAACATACAGTACAAACTTCATATATTTACAGCCAAAGCAAAAAGTATGATTGCTCTCAGTCTGGTTCAGAAGACATTAAGCTGATTTAAGAAGTTTTGATAGAATAAACGTGAAAGGCATTTTAACAGAATAGTTCCTGATTCAGTAATGGCATCAAAGTCGTGACTGAATTATGGTTTTCTTAAAATAGCCAGTGCCTGTGTAGCACTTTAGTCTGTGTAAATATAGCATTTTCTAACTGTCCTTTCCTTTTTTTGTCCCCCAGTGATCTTTGAAAATGGCAAAGTTCTGTCCTGCTTTATCCTGTTTGGTTCATGGTACAACCATGATTGCTGGTTAAAGGAGTTAAAACAGCCCTGGTGCTACTTCTAAAAATCTCTTTAATGCAGTCCTACTCCCTTCTTGATGTACAGGTTTTCACAGCATACCCACTACCTTTAAAAATGAGAAACCTGAAGGTTTAGCTTTCCCATGTTACAGTGTGTGTTGTTTCTTGAAAGCTAAGTTTCTGTCTCATGTTAATCCAGTATAAAATGTAAAAGCTGAAGGTGTTCTTAGTTGACTAAATCTCAACTACAAAATTGGTAAAAATGCTTTTGTGTGACATTGTTTCTCTGTTTTCATGTTTATTATCTGTGTCTTTAACGTGACTCTCAGTGGATTCATCTTGCGTTCTCAATTGGATTGCAGCATCTCTCTCTGATAGCAAGTCCTGCATTACTACATCAGTTCCAGTTGTCTCCTTAGGTATCCTCTGCCACGTTCCTGCTGCAGTTGGCCAGAAGCTGTTGGTAGCCAGAATATCGCCATTGCTCCTGGGCCGACGTTTTCCTTGTTGAGCTTTTTTGACATAGGACAGTTTATTTGCTATTACAACAGTTGACAGAAACAGGAAGGTGCAGATGAGTACAAGGGCTGCTATTATAACGAAGCAAATCAGTGTAAGAAACTTATTGTCTTCACATGTTTCTTTTGTCATGGGGATCTTGGGTGTGCTGGTATTCTTAGGTCCTCCAGTGTCAGGAACACTTTGGGCAGAGGAAGATGAGGAGTTTGGGCCCATTGTTGAAGATAAAGACTGGGGGGTGGCTGTCAGCATTTCAGCAGTGGGTGTTGGTTTGTCGTTAAAATCAATGCCTGCAGGAGATTTTGTGTTGGCTTCTGTTGTGTTCTGACTGCAAGTTAGGTTTTGGCAGTTTGGATACCAGATTTCATTGGTAACCATGGGATAGTCAGTATGGTTTGCACTTAATTGCAAACACAATGAAAAGATTATCCCAAGAGGGAAAGCAGAATGTGGTTTGCCATGTCTCTTTGTCTTCATCTTCCTCTTCAGTCACCTACAAAAATAGAAATTCTGGTGTTAGGAAGTCGCAGTGCTAGTTCTTAGAGGTTTGAATCAGCTTGTCAGGTTTAGCAGCCAGCAGCTTTTCTGATCAGCAGTGTGTTGTAACTTGGCCTCGTGCTTGCCATGTGTGGAAGGGAGCACTCAGCTGCTTGGAATCCTGACTGAATTGGTGGTCTTGGACTTCAGCTCTTACAGTGCTGAATTCCAGTGTTTGGAGGTTTATGTGTGATGTGTATGAAGATGAGAAAAGAACATGAAGCAAAGAGAGGAAAGTGTTTTCTGCTGAGTGCTCCGTGATTTGTGGGTGTCGATACAGACTGCTGTAGTTCCTCCTCTTTAGAGCTAACCATCTTTAAGTTCATCACTTCTGCTTTTAAATGGGGAAGGGAGGCACCCATGTAAAACCTACAGAGTACCGCTTTCTGCTTCACCGTGTTTCCCCAAATATGGGAGAAGTAGCTGTGCTTGTACAGATGGCCAAGCAGAGACCTTAACTGAAAACATTCCTGTAAATGGCAGCAGTAACTTGTTCCAATCGTTTTATTTCTTATCACGGATGTCTGGAGTATTTCATAAATCCCTAGGAAGATCTTTGTTCTCTAATATCTGGTTTATTGTACAAGAGACTGTTTATCACAAACGCACTTCAGATTTGATATTTCCTTTAAAACCTCTGAAATTGTGCAGATTACCATTAGTATTATGCTCTGCTCTACATTAGGGTAATATTCAGATTCGCACCATGAATCAGAGACAAACAGGACAACCTCAGAGTGATGCTGATGAGAGAGGGAAGTTACTGCATCATGCCTGTGCTGAGTCTTCTCAGGTTTACGTGTGTGAGACAGGCTCAGGTCTTATGGCTGGTTGTTGTGCTCCCTGTCTCTGTTAACAGAATGAAATGTTTCCTCCAAGTGCTGTAGTTTACATCTTGTTCGTGTATAAATGCTATCAAGGATGACTGACATTAATGGTGCTGTTTGTAGAAATTTCTTCTTGCAGCTGTTACTTTAAAGGTAACAAAGCACATCTGCATGTTTCTAGGTTTTGGTAACTTGGAAATGTACCAGAAATAAATTTGCTTTTGCCATAGTTGAAAGTTAGCTTATCTACCAGAGAACTTAATGTGTTCACACTCAAAAATCAGAGAGCTAAGCTTGCCTGTCTTTTCAGTATCCAAATGACATCTTTCATACTCTTGGAGCCCCCCAGGGAAGGGAAGGGTGTGATAGCAGGATGATCACTGGGATGGGAGCAGGGTGAGATGGTGGGTGGCTGCTCATGAGGCAGAGGAGAGGAGAATATATTTGTATCTTTCTTTGCAATTCACACTACAAACTAAACTGCTCTGAGTCCTTATTGTTAAGTTTGAATTAGAAACCATCTTAGTTATCAGCTACAGCCTGGGTACAATATTTATCTTCCCGAGGTAACGGTTGCTGGGGAACGCCTTATTGCAGTCTTCAAAAAGGAGGAAAGGCAGCAACAGCACAACCTTTTTGGGGGTGGAGGGAAGCAGGGCATTTCACAAAGTTTCTACATGACGTGCAGAAATGAGGTGCATTTTCCAGTGCAGATGCACTCCAATCCTTACTGCCAGAGAACTGCAGCTGTACGAATGTTTATTTGGACCAATATACTTTTCTTAACAATAAAGAAACTAGTATTGTAAAGGCTTCAGTTATAATCACGTTAGCAAAGGGACTGATCATTACGTAGCTTTTTCTGTTTTTCTTTAACTCAGCAATTTGTGCCCAGGTATTGATAGGGTCCTCTGTCAGTGCAGAGTAACAGTGTCAGTCCGCAGTAACAGGAACCACAGAGCAGTGTAGGCTGCTGTTATTTCTTTAGTCTGATTGTGAACAACTTCTAGCATCACTGAAAGCAATTGTTTATCAGATTCCTTAAATCAGGCAGAGATTGATTGTTAACTGTTGTTACTGGTGGAGTTGTATTTAAACAAAAAAAGTCAAACTTACTTTCAAGTATAATTTCCTACAAAATCTAGGAAACTTTCAAGTGGAACTGAAAGTAGAAGGAAAACGTGCACTTACCTTTCCGTGGTGCAGTCAAAAGAAAGTTGGTGTTTAGATATTTAGTCCGTTAACAGTAAGATTTCTCTGTGTGTGTATTTGCTCTTGGGATGCAAACGTCCATGAACATGAAGCAAGTAGACTTGGACAGTGCTGGGTTTTGATGTGTTTTTTTTTTTTTTTAAGCAAATCTGTAACTGAAATTACATGTCCTGTATTCTAAGTGGAGAACTAAAACCACAGTGATGACCCACTTCCTTCTTTTTTTCTTCTTTTTGTTTTCTTCTAAACGACTAAATGCCATGACATCTTAGAGGGGGAAAAACACCAACTTGCCCAAATTAGCTTTCTGAGTAACAGGAAGTAACACAGGAAAAGAAGTCTCTCGGGCAGACAGATGAATACTTTACATTTGTGATGGGTATCTCCTCCGTTATCCTGTGCTCAGGTGGTTTACCTCAGATGTTACCAGGAGCAGTGTCCCTCTGAGATCAAAATGACTTGTGCTTGCAGTGCTTAGCAGATGTTTCCGTAGCCTGTTGTCTTGCTTTGAAAGAGTTGAGTTGATGCTAGCTCAAAACAAGCTCAAATCTTTAAAAGTTCAAAAACTACTGCAAAGTCTGCTTTTTAATTCTTTCTAATAGAATTTTATCTGCTGTACTGACTCTGAAAACGGTTCAGACAGATGCTCTGTTCGATCTCATAATGTTCAGCAAAGCACTAAATGACAGCAAAGGGTTCTTAATATTTTTGTAGTTCCTGCATGCTTTTCAGGTAAGAATTATTTCACAGATGTGTCCTCTGTACTACTCAAAGAACCAACTGGTCTTAGAAACCATCCACCAAGCATTAGAGTACATTGCTGTGCTTGCTGCAGTATTTAGCAGACAAAATGAGCTGAAAAAAATGGTATGTAGGTGTTTAATTAGTCTTAACCAAGACAATTTAAATAATTTATTTCTACTTATAAAAGTAGGTATAATATGAACCTGTAGAAATGTGTTTAAAATATGAATAGTAATAAAAATAGAGTTTGGGGTGATACTTCATGCCTTTTTTCAAAGAAACCCTTAACTTGCATCAGCTTTGAGCCGATCGATGCACTCTTCCTCAGCAGTGTGGATTTTACTTTTCCTTTGGTTGGAGGTGCTGGATGAGCCTCCTGGCTGTCCAGAGACTTCATGGCTGTGGGAGGTGGTGTGGCACTTCAAAATGAATGAATCCAAACCAAGCTGTAGCATACTGGGCTGAACTCGGTTGGAATATGAGTCGTGACAGAATTTAGGCTGTGGATGCCAGTCCAGTGTCATTGCTTTGAGTTTGACATTTCTGGGGCTGTGTAAATGTCAATCTGTTTTAGTGTAGCAGTGTGTGTGACGCACCACTGAAATGTTTTATTATGGGTCTAGAAGGCAAAGCCAACAGTGTCTGTCATGTTTTCTTACAGTTTCAAGACTGGCCAGATCAATGGAGATTTACTGATATACCACGTCCTGCTAACTCTGAAGCCATACTACGCAAAGCCATATGAAATTGTGGTGGACCTCACACATGCTGGCCCCAGTAATCGCTTTAAAACTGACTTTCTTTCTAAATGGTTTGTAGTTTTTCCAGGCTTTGCTTATGAAAATGTCTCAGCAGTTTTTATTTATAACTGTAATTCTTGGGTCAGAGAATACACCAAATACCACGAAAGACTCTTGACAGGTTTGAAAGGAAGCAAAAGGCTGATTTTCATAGACTCTCCAGGAAAGCTGGCGGAGCACATTGAACATGACCAGCAGAAACTTCCAGCAGCTACTTTAGCTTTGGAAGAGGACTTGAAAGTATTTCACAATGCCCTCAAGTTGGCTCACAAAGACACCAAAGTGTCTATTAAAGTAAGTATTTTCATGCTTTATTAGTGAATTGTTCTATTTTGATAAGATTTTAAATGCGTTTCTGCTGTCTTTTAATTTTCTTCTCTGTCTCACAACACAGTATTATTTCATCCAATTTCATACATGTATCTTGGTCAGATAGAAATGTCACCCTTGTCTCTTTGTATCATTAACAGCAGGTGCTCAACCATTTTTTGATTCTGTTTCTAAGGTTGGATCAACAGCTGTGCAGGTGACATCAGCAGAACGAACGAGAGTCCTGGGACAGACGGTGTTTTTAAATGACATATACTACGCCTCTGAGATTGAGGAAATATGTCTTGTTGATGAGAATCAGTTTACATTGACAATTGCCAACCAGGGAACACCGCTCACCTTCATGCATCAGGAGTGTGAAGCTATTGTGAGGTCCATTATTCACATACGGACACGGTGGGAGCTGTCACAACCAGACTCCATCCCACAGCACACTAAAATTCGCCCTAAGGATGTTCCTGGAACGCTGCTGAACATAGCATTGCTCAACTTGGGAAGCTCAGACCCCAGTTTGCGGTACTGATCTTTTAAATTAATTTCCCTTTGTAAGGAAAAGTTTGGTTTGCAATATGTATTTATTGGGTACATTTGATTGGCTTGGTGCTGAACTTCTTGCTTAATAGCTGTCCCTTGCAGAGCAAATTTTTGGGTCTCATCAAAGAGGGCTGCCTCCAAAAATGAGTCCTTGCTCACTGGCAGACTGTGGCCCTCGGCTCCTGCCTCTCAGCCACTCAGGTGCATTTGGAAATACCTCACATTTCCTGGAACTGGATGCTCTTCTGAGAAGTCTAGTACCAAATTCTTCCAGCATACTCTGTAACTTCATCAGAAACAGCTTAAAACAAAGGAGTAATTTAATTCATTTGTCCGAGGCAAATGTTGTCTCTGAACCTTAACTGATGCAGAAAAGCAGCTCAGGGTTTAAATATAGTACATTATATAACAATATTGATTTGGTTTTGGAAATGTGACTGCCATTGCTGTGATGTCTCAGTGTAATGTGTGTATTTCAAAACAGACAGGAAGACTATTACAAATCACATTGCTTGCTTTGTTTACAGGTCTGCTGCCTATAATCTTCTGTGTGCCTTAACCTGTACCTTTAATTTAAAGATTGAGGGCCAGTTACTGGAAACTTCAGGTCTATGTATTCCTGCCAACAACACGCTCTTTATTGTGTCCATCAGTAAGACTCTTGCAGCTAATGAGCCACACCTTACCTTAGAGTTCTTGGAAGAGTGTATTTCAGGATTTAGCAAATCAAGTAAGTAACGCTGGTGTTCCTCAGTCCTGACCATGAACATGAAACGATTTAAGCTGTCAAGTTTAACAAACGTCCTCATGTTACTGAATCACAGCAACTTTAAGTTACTAATGCTTCCTAGAACTGATTTGGATGTTTTTAAGATGACCCGTTTATATTTGTTTCTTAACAATCAAGTTTAATCTGATAATTCTGTGTTTCTGTGAAGCTGTGTCATCCTCAAAAGCCAATGTTGTGACCTGGGGGGGCATCTGTTGGAGCAGAAACTCCAGCAGTACTTTGATTTACACTCTTGAATGTACACTTTTCTTTCTGCATGGAAAAAAAGGAAGCAGATATTATAAAAAGAAATAAAGCAGCCTGAGCCCAGTCTTTCTAGCTTTCACCAGCCATCTCATTTATCTAAACAATTACTCAGTGTGATCACAGCACAAATTATTTGTTTCGTACCCCTGACAGTTTTGTACAGGGAGTAATCTGGTGATCAGATCTCTATCACACTGTTTTTGATTCACCAGAATTAAGAATGTAGAGAAGAACAAAAAAAGATCTTGGTGAAGTTTTGAGTTCTAGCAGATACCTGAAGAAAACAGTTTGTGTCTTTCAAATGTAAGCCTTTCAGATTGATGATATCTCCTGTCTGGTTCTACCATTCTGCTTTTGTTATCTCTGTTTTGCAGACATAAAACAGCTCTGATTTTACTGCTGGAAGCAGTTTGGAATACATTCTTAAGATTAAAGAGAAATTTTCTTTAGTCCCACTTCATACTAAGCGTACACATCTTTGTCACATGTCTTAAGATACTAAAATGTCAAAATCTCCTTGCTAGATTCTTACAGATGCTTATTGGATGTTATTATTAACAGTGTGCTCCTTATGAAAGCTGTATTCTAGGGTATTATTTGCTCAGATCTGATAGTCGTTACTTTAGCAGGAAAATGAAAGGGTAGTGCTTGCAAATAATTATTTACCTGTTCAGAGACACCAACAGCAATCTTTTGTTACAAAGTGAGTTTTTGTTTCAGGTATTGAACTGAAACATCTCTGTCTGGAGTACATGACTCCCTGGCTGTCCAATCTGGTTCGGTTCTGCAAACACAACGACGACGCGAAGCGCCAGCGAGTCACTGCTATTCTTGATAAGCTTATAACAATGACAATAAATGAAAAACAGATGTACCCTTCTATTCAGGCTAAAATATGGGGAAGTCTTGGACAGGTATAAATTATGCACGATTTCTTGTAATTTCTTCCTAAGCAGATTATAGTGTTTTCAATCACTTACATGAGGATAAAGTTTTTGACAGATAAGACCTTGCTTGTTTCCCAGAAATGTTTTTTGGGGTTCTTTTCCACCTCAAATCCAGTTTCTTCTCAGTAAGTGCAAAGTGCAGCATTTTATGAATAGCTGTGCTTTGAAGCAGAGAGCAAAACAAAAACGATACCGTATCATAGTTCTTCTGCAGTTGTGAAGCATTTTGATCTGATGCAGTTCATTTTGCAATTCTAATATTTCAATGGGCTTTTTCCAGAAAGGTGACAGATCACGAGGACTGTCGCTTACACTTATGATAGCTGTGCACCTTCAACTGAGAAAATGTAATGATTACTCATTCAGAAGATTGTTTACTGTAGAAAAATTATGTTAACCAAACAGTAAGAAAGGCTTTTTTTTCTCTACCAGATTACAGATCTTCTTGACGTAGTGCTGGACAGTTTCATCAAAACTAGTGCCACAGGGGGCTTAGGATCCATTAAAGCTGAGGTTATGGCAGACACAGCCGTAGCACTTGCTTCTGGAAATGTAAAATTGGTTTCAAGCAAAGTGAGTTCCCTCCTTGCCTCTTGAACAGTAATTTCACCTTTAGATAACAGCGTAGCACTGAGGTGCTTTCTGATGACTCAACAATAATGAAAAAAACCCAGAAGAATAACTCTAATGTTGATTTGTAAACTGCTTCTACTGAAATTTTGAGCTCTGCTCTTTGTTTCATAAAAGCAAGATGGTTGCTCTCTTTTCAGGTGATTGGAAGGATGTGCAAAATAATTGACAAGACTTGTCTGTCTCCAACTCCTACGCTGGAACAGCACCTGATGTGGGATGATATTGCCATTCTAGCACGCTACATGCTGATGCTGTCCTTCAACAATTCTCTGGATGTGGCTGCACATCTCCCCTACCTCTTTCATGTGGTTACTTTGTTGGTGGCCACAGGACCCCTTTCTCTCAGAGCTTCCACTCATGGTCTTGTCATCAACATCATTCATTCTCTGTGCACTTGCTCACAGCTTCATTTTAGTGGTAAGTTCTTAACAGGTTTTCAATTGGTTGCTTTTTAGTTTCAGAAATACCAGAGTTATCTTTCTCTCTTTCAACAATTCTGAGCTTGAAAATACTGTCTTGCTGTTGAACTTGTGTAGAAACCAGAATAAGGGTATGAGCCAGAATAACTATGAAGGGGGAGTTAAAATACGACTGGTTTCAAGCAGGTGTGTAGTATGAATTGTATAACGGGTCTTTGAAAAAGGGAAGAAAGTAAGTACCAGTAAGTTCCTGTAATGCAGATTAAGGATAAAATGCATCTGTGCTAAAACTGGCTGATGTGCATCTTTTGAACAGTTGCATAATGTGGTAACAAATATCAGTTACATAAGGAAATTTTGAAACTGCTTAAAGCAGGAATGTTGCATACAGCTGTATGTTAGCGATCCTGAAATATTTGAGATAGCAAAGGGGCAGCAGTCATAGAAGTACACTATAAAATTAGGCTGGATTTTGTGAAAAAAAAATCAAGAAGTTTATGTAATCTTGTTTTTTTAAGTATCTAAAAGCTCCTTTTATGATATCTAAGTGTATTGACAGAGTGTGTGCATAGACACAGACACTTGTATTTAAGGAAAAGCCTTGCTGTGATGCACAGAGAGAAAGGCAAGCTTTCCTGTTTAAAAAATGGGTTTGAAGTACACAGTACTGGAACAAAGTTCAGAATTGTAAGAATATGCAGTGCCAGTACCAGGGCCTTTATTTTCTTCTGATCTAAGGGACTTAATTGCAATGGGAGCCCAAACCAGAATTTAACTGCAGTTTGAACTGACAGTAATGTTGGCCTTCCAATGCAGGAGCGCTCCGTGTTTCCATTCTCTTAACAAATATGAGAAAAAGTCTCAGAAAATCACATCTGTAGACAAATTTCTTTGTATCTATTTCCAGACTGCCTCTCTCTCATGACTGCTTTCAATGATCTGTGCAACAGGCCACAGTTGTTCTGGCACGTTCTGAGACAAGTAGCAAAGAAAACAGTATAGAAACATGCACAGGTTTATCACCTGCTTGTGTATTTGTGGGAGAGTGAGCTTAAGTGTGTTTAAAATATGAATTGTGTGTCAGTGTTTTAAGTCTAATGTGTAAAAATTTGTTCAACAGAGGAGACCAAGCAAGTTTTAAGACTGAGCTTGACTGAATTTTCTCTGCCTAAATTTTATTTGCTGTTTGGAATCAGCAAAGTGAAATCAGCTGCAGTCATAGCATTCCGCTCCAGCTATCGAGACAGGTCATTTTCACCTGGCTCCTACGAGAGGGAGACTTTTGCACTGACCTCCTTGGAAACGGTTACTGAAGCTTTGCTGGAGATCATGGAGGTACGTGTTTCAAAACAAAGTTACAGTGCTGCTTGTTCTACAGCAAGCAGTTTAACGGGCAGTGCCTCCAGTGACATGATAAGGAGCACTTCTGACAACTAGAATAACTGAGCACTCTGAATTAAAATAATTCATTTTCTTTATGCTATATATGTTCAAACAATGTCATTGTTTTTAGGCTTGTATGAGAGATATTCCAACATGCAAGTGGCTGGACCAGTGGACTGAACTAGCTCAAAAGTATGTTATAGATCTCAAAGCATGACCCCTAACTGCCTGTAGTACACCTGGAATTTTCAGTTTTCCATTGTACAGCTTGTCTGTTGTATGTTCATTTAATGCAGTGTACTCTGTTTCTCCACAGGTTTGCATTCCAGTATAATCCATCCCTGCAGCCAAGAGCACTTGTTGTCTTTGGCTGTATAAGTAAGCGTGTCTCTCATGGACAAATAAAACAAATAATCCGAATTCTCAGCAAGGTATAAGGGTCTGTGTTTGTCTTCCTCTCTGACACATAAAACAACTAATTTTTATTAGTATTCCTATTGAATATAAAGCGCAGCATAATTTCACAGTAAATACATTCTTCAAGCATATTCTTCTACAGAGAAACCTGATAGGAAATTGTCTTTGTAGGCCTTCTATTTTAAATTAGTTTGGTGGCAATAAATTTATCAGTGCAGCTACTTGTAGAGTAACATTAGTTCTCAATATTGAGTTTAAAATTTGCGACACTGAATTTGGATCCAGAAGAGTCAGTATTACAATAAATGAGCAATTTTCTGGTAATGCAGCTACCTGTATGTGTTACTCTCTTTTTATTTTTATTTTTTTAAGGACATTAACAACTAAATACAATAAAAAGCAGAATGTTTATATAAGAAAACTTTGCAACATATTACCTAGCTTGGTAATTATGTCCATATTTTCTAAAGGAGGTTCTGTTCTGTAGCAGCTGCACAATGATGAATTTCTTCAAGTATTTTACTAACGTTATGTGGACATAAAATTTAACTGTGCAGTGTCTGAACTGCAGAAGCCCTTCTGTGGCTCTTGCACCCTTACTTTTTTAATACACATTGCATGATTGTTTACAGCAATAAATAAATGCTTGTGTAGATCTTCATTTCTGAAACTCCTTTCAAATTGGTTTAAAGGGAACTCAGCCTTTGTAAACTAATTGAGAACTACATTATAGTTTAGAGCTTTCATCTTTTCATGAAGCAAAATCTAATTATGGGTTCTGTTTTCTTATTATTCTTTTTTTCTACAAAAAGGGACTTGAGAGCTGTTTAAAAGGCCCTGATAATTACAATAGCCAAGTTCTAATAGAAGCAACAGTTATAGCACTCACCAAACTGCAGCCTCTTCTTAACAAGGTAAGCAACTGGATTTCTGGAGGAAACAGAATATGTTTTGTAGGCTATAATTATGAGTATAAGCTTAAAAATGTATGTAAGTCTTGTGGTATCTGATGTTCACACATCGCTGCTCTGACTCACGCTTGAAAGTACTGCATATGGGAAGTATGTCACAGATGTTTGTATGTGCAGAAGCTGTAAAAAGCCTTCAGAATGTACAGTTCTGCTTCATCACTGGGCCGTACGCAAAGGCTGCACCACAGTTTGCATTCATTCCCACCAAAAGATTTTCCATCTCGGCTTTTGAATTTGCAGTTGTTCATACATCTTTCTGATCATGCCTTGTAATAAATTTTGATTATGTCTTACTTGAGATTAATTTAGCCATTTTATGTTACTTCAGTGAATTGATCAGCATATCAGTAGGTGCACCATTAATGAATCACTTCAGAATTTACCTGTGGAGTGGCATTGTCATGCACACATAAAAGAACACATTTCTATGGCGGGGTTTCTGGAGAGCATGGATGCATTTGCAGCTCCTTCTTTGTTAATGCCTTAAAAATATGCTAAAAAAAGAAACAAAACACCTTGTTTTTTGTGTCTGGTGTGTTTGAAGGGCTGCTTTAATGTGCATATTTGACTTTCATTCACACAGCTAAAGACTTAAAAAAAAAAATCTATATTAACTTCGGTTTGTTTCACTGTTTGCTTGGTAGCTTTGCACTGTGTTATGTGAAAGTAGAATCGTGGTCTCTTTGTTTCCCTTCAACTTCTAGGACTCTCCTATGCACAAGGCCCTCTTCTGGGTAGCCATGGCAGTACTGCAGTTGGATGAAGTCAACCTGTACTCAGCAGGTACAGCACTGCTTGAACAGAATCTGCATACCTTGGATAGCCTTCGAGTGTTCAATGATAAGGTAAGCAAGCCCTCTGCTAGTAATCAGCTGTGATTAACCCTTAGTTCATGCAAGCAGCTAGTTCTAATCAAAAGAAAATATACATATATTCCTTACCCTAGTGATCAATAATTAAGCAATTAAAACTTAAAATTTGCGTTACAAGCTGTTTACTTGTGTAATATCAGCAGTACACTGTGATGTAGAGATGACGGCCTAACTAGATTAGTCCCAAACAACAGAGAAATACACAGATGTATTCAAGTCAGGAGTGCAGTCAGTAGGTTCCTGTTCTTTCTTAAATTACTATGTTTTGTCACTATTTTAATTATGATGAGTAAACTCCAATCAAATAGGCTGTTCTGAAGAAATTCATAATGGGGGCGGTGAGGCCCTGGCACAGGCTGCCCAGAGCAGCTGTGGGTGCCCCATACCCAGAGATGCTCAAGGCCTGGCTGGGCCCTGGGCAGCCTGAGCTGGTGGGAGGTGTCCCTGCCCATGGCAGGAGATGTGCGCTGAGGTCCCAGCCAAAACCACTCTATGCTTGTATGAAATATTCTTATGTCTTACTTTCTGTGAGTCAGAGCCCAGAGGAGGTGTTCATGGAGATCAGGAGACCACTTGAATGGCACTGCAAACAGATGGATCATTTTGTTGGGCTAAATTTCAACTCCAATTTCAACTTTGCACTAGTGGGGCACCTCTTGAAAGGTAAGAGTGCATGTTGCTCGTGTGCGAAAATGAATGTGTGGTTTCATTTGCTGCAATACATTACTTCTTTCTCCCAGAATACTTTCTTTCTCTGTGCTTGCCTGTATCTCCTCACTGAAGATTGATTTGTGAGATATGGATGCAATATATGCACAGACATTTGTAATTATGTGATTTTGGACAGAGGGACTGAATTAATAGTCCTGAATGTGCAATTTCTGTTAGCGCTGTACTTCATTACTCTACATATGAAGTGTCCTGAGAACATGCTGGGAAGTATTTATAAATGCTTTTAAAAAATATTTGTGCTTCATAAATATGTATTCAAAAATTAAATACAGGATTTGGTGTTTAAACCTCATTTTGCAGGGTACAGGCATCCTTCACCTACTACTGTAGCAAGAACAGTCAGGATTCTACATACACTACTAGCTCTGGTTAACAAACACAGGAACTGTGACAAGTTCGAGGTGAACACCCAGAGCGTGGCTTACCTAGCAGGTGAAATTAAACATTCTTTTGAACTTGCATTAACTGGAAAGGAGTGGGTTGTTGTGGGAATGTCTTCTGGTGTTAGGCCAATGACTGTTATCAGTATGAAGGAAACTTGTAACTGGAGTTGGACAGGAGTCTGGGTTGGGCTGCTGTGCGTCACTGACGCAGTGTGGTCTGAAGGCTTGTTGGCTCAGGACCTACTGTGCAACTTCCAAAATGCTTCAGGGAGACTGGAGGTGTTTGGTTTTAAGTTCTGAAGTGTGTTGCTCCTTGCAGAATTTACATTTCTAGTGGTCTGGAAACAGAAAACATGGCTGTATGAGGGCAAATGTTTAGATCATGGAATTTTAGCTATTTGGGGAATACAATTATTTTTTAATGACCGACTTTTCATCTGTACATTTCAGTGAGGTGTAATTACATCTCTGAGGTCTTTTTTGTACTAAGAAAAAATGTAAATAGATGCTTACATTCTTCAGTGTATTCCTGACATAGAAAATTTGCACCAACTTTGTTTTTTTTTTAATTTAGCTTTGCTGACAGTGTCTGAGGAGGTTCGAAGTCGCTGCAGCCTAAAACATAGGAAGTCTCTCTTGTTGACAGACGTCGCAATGGAAAACGTGCCTATGGATACATACCCCATACATCACAGTGACACTAGCTATAGGTTGGTTGTCTTTCTTTTCGATTATAAAAGTTACCCAAATTTCAATCTCTATTTTCTTTACTAAGTTATCTAAAGGTAAGGTATGATATATAGAAAACTAAACCTCCTGTTCGTTAAAGCTGAGTTAATGTTCACCTGCACATTAGTGCTTCCTGACCAACATGCTGCTGTGACCGAGAATCATAGGGAAATTTGTTCATGATTTTGATTTCTCTGAATATGATTTTGAGATCTCTGAAGCAATTTCAGACTTCAGTTAATGGCTTTGGAGATTCTTAATCTTTTTTGATAACCCCTTTCTGTGAGACCTAATCTCACCTCATTCTTCATTTGCATTTTAGAATAAAATTGTCTTTTTAAGAAGTAAGGAGATGCTAAGTAATTGCTTGATTCCTGTTATTGGGAAACTTTGGCATCTTATCCATTGTCTATATGCAGCCACAGAAGTAAGCTGGGAAGTCAACCCTGAAGTGCCATGCAGAGTCAGATTTTCTCAGTGCGGAGCACTTTACTCAGTACCTCTCCTTTTAGTACCCAGTATGGAGCAGCAGATGTTTAATGTCTTACATTTTGCCTTATGAGCAGATTTGCTTATGGTTTATTGCTTTATTTTCAGCTCTTCAGCATTAGGTTCATACCAGACTGTTAGTTTTTACTAGCTCAGACATTTTTCTAGCCAAATAAATACTTTTTATTAAAACATTTTTCTGGGAGATTAACCTGCTAGAAAATATGGGTTTAATATAGGATACTTTGGCTAGCTGGAAAATTAATGTCTGAATATGCAAAAGTTTTAAAGATTTTCTTAATTTCTCTGCACTTTCAGGACACTAAAGGAAAATCAACCATGGTCGTCACCAAAGGGTTCAGACAGACATCTGGCTGCCAGTTACCCAACAGTGGGACAGATAAGCCCTCGAACACGAAAGTCCATGAGTTTGGATATGGGGCAGCCTTCGCAAGCGAACACTAAAAAGCTTCTAGGTTATTAAGATGCCTAATTTACTCATTTGTCTACAGGATACTCCATGAAATGTTACTGGAGAAAAATTATACTTGCATTTGTTTTGACTTTTAGTACTTACTCCTAATTCAGAGCAATGCACATGGTTTCTACAAAACGGAAAGAGAGGACACTACAATTGAAGAGGAATAATTTGGTTTGCTTTGATCAGGAATATGGGAAATGTTACTCAGAATGGGCATGCTGAAGTGATTTAAAAAAAAAAAAAAAACAAAAACCATAATTGAGATACTTAAGATTCAGATGCCAGTTCAGTTTTCTGGGGAGCAGACTCTTTGGCAGGGTCTGTTGTGTCAGACCAAGGAGCAATGGTTTCAAACTACAAGAGGGGAGATGTGGTTTGGATATAAGGAGGAAGTTCTTTACAGTAAGGATGGTGAGGCGCTGGAACAGGTTGCCCTGATAAGTGGTGGTGCCCCATCCTTGGAGACAGTCCAGATCAGGCTGGACCAGGCTGTGAGCACCTGGTGGAGCTGTGGATGTCTCTGTTCATTGCGGGGGTGGGACAAGATGGCCTGTAAAGGGCCCTTCCAACTGAAAGCATGCGATGATTCTGTGACACAAGATGAGTTCTCCACATAACTTTACGTGAGTGCACGTGGAAGAAGAGAGGCATTTCTTTCATTACAATCCGTTACTGCTTCCTTTTCAGTAATCACATTTTGGCATGTTTATTCAATGTGATGCGTTGAGCAGGAAACCATAGCATGCCCACAGCTTACATACTTGAATAAACTGCATGCTATTCTCATATGCATTGTGAAGCATTTTGGAAACTGTGATGGAGAGCGGCATGGTGTACCCGTAGTTTCTCTACCAGCTCTGAAAACGTCCCCAGATTCCTATTGATATGTTGCAGACAGGATAGTAGGTTGGCCAGACAATCAGAAATATTGAAGTGTGGATTTAGGTTTAATGTTTTTAATTTCCTGATAAATTGTTTTTAGGTACAAGGAAAAGTTTTGACCATTTGATATCGGACACAAAGGCTCCTAAAAGGCAAGACATGGAATCTGGAATCACAACGCCTCCCAAAATGAGGAGAGTAGCCGAAAATGATTATGAAATGGGTGAGAAACAGGACTAACATTTCAGAATAACGCTAATTATAAATGCTTTGTATTTATATACAAAGGATTATTTCCAAATTCAATGTTTATTTGCTTAGGTTACTGCAAGGTAAGGGAGAAATATCTTAATGGCTTCTGGAGAGTGTAGTCTTCCATATCTCTGACAATTGAGGTTTGAGTTAGAGTTGCTCAGTTTGTAGATGCAGGATAAGGGGCAGCTATAAAGTACCATATGCAGGAGGGAAATAAGTAAAATTTGGCTTTTTATGGCTTACTGAGCCCTAGCTGCAGATTTTGCAAGTGGAATCTGATGTGATGCCTAGAATGCCTCTCTTCATCTTCTCCCACATCTGCTTCCTGTGACCCCATCCCCAATTGCAATGCAAGACCAGGGTTCTTCTGTTGTATCTGATGTCAGTCTGCTGCCTGACCCTGAGAACATTACTTACCACCCCTGGGCCTGTATTTCACTGAATAGGAAATTGGGGTTATTGTTTGCCATTTGATAATACATCCCATGTGACAATCTAGCTCTGCTAGTATTACAGCATAATTGTTGCTTTCTTATACCTTATGGAAATTCTGGTGAACTCTGAAGTTTGCATATAATTGAACTTGTTATGCAAAATATAATTCTGTTCTGGCTCAGGTTTATTTTGCTTTTGATTAGTTGGTCTTTTTTATTTGGCAGAAACCCAGAGAATATCACCTCAGCAGCACCCCCATCTCCGAAAAGTTTCTGTTTCTGAGTCAAATGTTCTCCTGGATGAAGAAGTTCTGACTGATCCGAAAATTCAAGCACTGCTGCTTACAGTTCTTGTAAGCCTTCTTTCTGTGTATTATTGTGTGTTACTTTCTGATGTTCTTTCACCGTCCAAAGAAACGCTCCCTGTGGTGCTTCATGAATTCATGTGGATCAAACTTAGAATGCACTGTGCCACTCTATTCTTTAGCTGCTTTTCTTCACGCTTCCTAGGAATCACTCTTATAGATCCATTAAAAACAACGGGAGGGGAAAATTTGGAATTTCCATGATTCTATATTATAGTTCAGAACATGTCTAATAGTTGATTCTTTTTCCTGACAGAATTCTACTACAAACTGATTTTATATAACAAGAAGCTATTCTTACGTATTACGTATTTTAGAAGAAGAGAAGATTGCTAGAATACCAGCACAATTCAATTTAAACCCTGACTAAATTGTAATATAGCAACCAGAACGTTAGTGCTTTCACCAGGTACACCAATACACCTTGCAGCCCTGTTATAATGCAGAAAGACTCAGTTGCACAGTTCTGTCAAAAACTGATTAGTTAATTTTGGACCAAAATAGAAGCTATTACCCAACTGTTCTTATTGTTTCTCATGACATAAAACAACTTAATTCCATGTCTTCAAGTTAATCTTCTGTAATGCTGCTTCTTCTGGAATCCTGGAATCTTAAAAACCTTAAACTACAATAACAAGCAAAAAAGCCTGTAACTACTCAGCCTCCCTCAGAACCATGCTGATTTATTCCTTTGCATTATCACAGGCAACGTTAGTGAAGTACACTACTGATGAATTTGACCAGCGGATTCTGTATGAGTATTTAGCAGAAGCCAGTGTTGTCTTCCCAAAGGTCTTTCCTGTTGTGTAAGTATCTGAAGCTGTTTGTGATGATTCTGTACTTGGCATTCCTATAAAATGTCTCTGGACCAGGGCAAGCATGTGTGAAGTGCTTTATCATTTGTACTTTGTGAGCAGCAGTGTGTCCTTTGCTTGAGACAAATGTCCATCACAGTTCGAGAGCATTACATTTACTTAACGTAGGGGAAGAAGGAATGCTCTGAGGGGAATGGGAATCTTCACACAGCACTGCTACAGACGGCCCACTGGCACACGTCTGGGGTCTGGGCAGGTTGGCAGAGCAGCCAGGGAGCAGCCAGGAGCCTGTTTGTGCAGCCATCCATTCCTCCCTAAAGCTTTCAGTGTCGCTGCTGCCATTACAGTAGCCTGGTGACTTTGCATGGCTTTGGCATTTATTTGGTACTGTGGAAAATCAAATTACTTTTCACGTGGTCATACAGTTTTCTATATAAGTCAACATCTACAGTTTTATATATTTTTGTCCCAGATAGACTCACATTTTTTAATCAGTAACCCAAGCACATATCGAAACACACAAAGTGTACCTCGGGATACTCTTTCAATGCAGTTTTTTAGATATGGATTAGAAAGGTGCATATTCATTTTGTGGAAAAAAATAACCCACTGTTCTTTTCTTTAGGCATAATTTATTGGATTCCAAGATCAACACCCTTTTGTCGTTGTGTCAAGATCCAAATTTGTTGAATCCAATTCATGGCATTGTTCAGAGTGTTGTCTACCATGAGGAGTCTCCACCCCAATACCAAACTTCTTATCTACAAAGTAATTTTTTTTAATTACTGAATTCAAAGTTAGATATCCTAATGAAAATGCCTTCGCAGAAGAGCTGATCAGTTTTGTTTGGATTCTCTCTGACCTCATAAATCCTTCATAACATTCAGTTTGTTGTTGTAGGTTTTGGATTTAATGGGTTGTGGAGGTTTGCTGGCCCATTTTCCAAGGTAAGAGATAAATTCATCAATTTTTACCTTTGTTCTCTTTATGAAGCACACTGATGCTCCAGGTATGATGCAGAGAAGTGATAAATGACAAAACTGACACGAGCAAGTCAGTAACATAAGGGTTGCTTTTATGGCTAGAAGTTTTTTAGCCTGCAGCAGCTATTTTGATGAACTCAAGGTAAACTTACTGAGGCTGGATAAAAGCAGACAGGTGGTAAATACAGCTTTTCAGCGCCCTGAAGTTTGCAGACTCAAAAGACATGGAATATTGTTCAGAAACTCTGGTTTGTTATCCTTATCTTACTGTTTAGGAGTTTAATCGTTAAGAATGATAATTCCATAAGGACAAATTCTATGTTACAACAGAAGAAATGAAACCATTGACCATCTGTGCTTCCATTTGTTGCTTCTAGTCATTGCTACAAGAACTGTACGAGCAGAGTAGCAGTGTTCCGTCAGTAGGCTTTGGGGGGTACAAGTAATAAATACTCTTAATAACATTTTAAGTTCGGTTGCTTTGAACGTTATGAATGGAACAGCCCCCTCCTCTGGCTTTGCAGTTCTTAGATGAACTGAAATTACATCTGTGAGTGCTCTGTAGTATTGCATTTAGATTAATCTGGGAAGGATCACAGATGGATTTTCACACATAGTTGCCTCCAGATGCTTTTTATAAATTTCAGGCAAAAACACTGGAAACCTACAGTGAGTTAGGGGTGAAATTCATCGACAGAAAAGTGGGAGGAAGTGAACCAACCTTTTTTTTTCCCCCCATCGCTCACAGCAAACACAAATTCCAGACTACGCTGAGCTCATAGTGAAGTTTCTCGATGCCTTGATTGACACGTATTTGCCTGGGATTGATGAGGAAACCAGTGAAGAATCTCTCCTGACACCCACATCTCCGTATCCTCCCGCAGTGCAGAGCCAGCTTAGCATTACTGCTAACCTTAACCTTTCCAATTCCATGACCTCGCTCGCAACTTCCCAGCACTCCCCAGGTCAGTAGCAGTTGCGGTGCTTGATAGGTAAGGAAATGTACTGAATTTATACAGCCAAGTATTCCATCTTGTTATGCTTTAAATGTGTTTACACATCAAACATGATTGCATTCTTGCAATTGCATTGAATGTTTTGTCTGTCATCTCTCCCCATCCCTTGTCACAGACATTACTCACTTACGTTTTTTCTTTCATTCTGTGTTTGTAAAGCTTCTCTGCCTTGCTCTAAATCTGCAGTTTTCATGCAGCTTCCTCATCAAGGTACTCTCTACTTCCATCATATTTGCACGAGATGCTGCTTGATCTGCTTTAGGGTTGGGCTTGTGGCATGAGAAGTGGTTTACTAATCCTGGACACAGGAATGGCTTCAGTGTAAGTGCTAAGCTGTTGCATTTCTCGTGTGATGCTAGTAATATTTAATGGAATAGCAGCAAAAGTCACATCTTCAAGAGTAAGATACATTTGGTAATAGAGAAGTGGAAGCTTGGTATGTGAAATTATTCTGCTGCACATATTAAGCTAAAATGTAAAGCTATTTCATGAGCTCTTTAGTTTCACAGGAGGTCAGCTTCAGCATCATTTGCACACTGCCAGGAAGCAGACGCAAATTCTTTGGACTAAATTGCAGCAGACAGAGGGTTCAATAAAATGAATTCTCACAGCACCATTTGATTTCTGCTTCTGTGTGGAGAAATAAATAAATAAGACTGCAAAAGACTTTTTTTACTCACCTTGCAGGTTGCTTCCTGTTCTCATCATAGCTTGTGACTTCATGAGCTCACACACACAGGGAGCAGGACAGCAGACCACAGACAGCTTCTGAATGTAGTTTTGATTTTCACTGTAACTGTGTGAAACAGTGGAGTGTAATCACTATTCTTGCTTGTGCCAATGAGAATCAATTTCTTAGAGGGATGAGACATAGAAGTGTGGGAGATACTGTTTGTAGTGATAGGATTTTGCTCCAACCTTTTCATTTGCTGTCAGACATCCTAATTTTTGCTGCTGGTTATACTTTGAGTCTCTCCCATTAAAATACCTTTCCTACTACTCATTCCAATGCTGCACATGTGCTGTAAGTGCTTAGTGTTGTTAGACGTGCCTCAAGCATACTCATTTTGTAGCAGAAGTAAAGTGACAGCTGCACGAAGATGCTGCCACACGAGTGATTAACTCAAAGTAGGGTTAGCATAAAAGTAATGACTGATTGAAAGCATGTCTGCAGTAAGACATTTATGTCTTCAAATGACAGACTGTATCCCAGAGATGTAGAGCAGTGGTTCATACCCAATCATGTGCTGTCATCATGTCAGCCTGAAGTTACACTGGAGGGGTTTGTTTAGGTTGGCTGTTTGATGTGATTCCTTTAGCACAACACAGTGGAATTCATCTAAAGCTTCTAGGACAGTATGTGCACTGGGGTAGAAATCGAGGCTGGTTTCATCCTCACCTTCTACCTCCTGCCTTTGTCTGGGAGAGCAGCACTTTTGCAATAGCAGTCATGAAAATTTCCAGACTCACGTCTTGTCAGCAATCGTGCAGTTATGTCCAAGCTTTGGCCCTAGAGTTTCTTTATTCTTGATTTGTGAGGGTGTCTTTTGAGGGTATGGATGGAGCATTTTCTTTTCAAGTACCCTTGTTCATTCTGCCCACAAATACATCAGAGCACGTGCTCCTGCAAACGAGCAGCCTCGTGCACAGGCAGCTCTGACACTGCTGTCAGCTGCAGGGTGTTGAGGCAACTCCAGAGCACAGCACTCTGCCCTCCCTCCTGAACTGGACCTGAGTCTCACTGCCCTGTTTGTTACTAGTGGTATTTCAGGAGTATTTGCAGTGACTTTTCCTGTCCTTACGAAGGTTAGCACAGGGAAGTGTTGGATCTGGTCAGGGGCTGTACTTTCTGAGCTCAGAGTTGTACATTTGATCTGAAAAAACTATTCTTCACATTGCAGTACTGCAATAAAACAGCTGCATCAGTTCTCTCATTTGCGAGTCATTGTCACCAGTAAGGCTGTGTTACTTCCTGCTAAGAGAGTTACGAGTTATTTTTAATATTTTGTTAGTTGGATGTCTGAAGTGCTTTCCCAGCTATAGGGCAGCACTGCTGGCCGCTTGTGTTCCCAGAGGCTGTCACCGCCGCCACCTGTTCGCATGGCAGACCTGGGTTGTATCCTGAGCGCAGTCACTGGGTGCCACCTGTGTCGCCGTTGCCTGGCGCCGCGTCGTCCGGCAGGGTGCCTTGATTCTGGCATCGAGGGTGTCACAGTATTTTGTACCGTGAAGGCACTTCCATGCTAACCTGTTCATTTGCAGAAATGTCTGTCGTTATGGTGCTGACGGCAGGGTGGCAAAGCAGCGAGGCTAACTTGTTGGTCTGTGTGTGTTCCCAGGGATCGACAAGGAGAACGTGGAGCTCTCGCCCACCGCTGGCCACACCAACAGCGGGAGGATGCGCCACGGCTCTGCCAGCCAGGTGCAAAAGCAGCGAAGTGCTGGCAGCTTGAAACGTCACAGCATTAAGAAGATTGTGTGAAACTTGGGGTTGTTTTTTTTGTTTGATCGTTTTTTTGGGTTTTTTTTTTTTTGGAAACTGACTGACGTACGTGGGCCTCTTGCAAAGGGCCCCCCACCAGTTGTGATGCTGCACTTAATTTTTCAAGTTCCCATCCTGTCAGCCATGTTGCCAGATGATCAACTCCTGAAACATTGCCTCAATTTTAATGCCTTCTTACTTTTTTTCTGCTTTTGTTTTTTATTTAAGCCAGTGTTTCAGAACCACTTGTAGACCCTGAAGGACTTCGTAGGCAAAGGAGATGTGAGTTCTTCAACACTGCGGAACATACCTTGTCCAAAAATGAAAGCCATTTCCCATAGACGGTTCTACCTTGCTTCTGTGATTCGCCTTGTTTATTTCTTCTATAAAGGAAAGTGTTAATACTTAATCCTGTTTGCACACTTCTCAAGGTAGTGGCTTTATGAGCCAGGGGAAGTTACTATCATCCTGGTTTTGATTCAAACCTGTAGGATTTTTAGCTGTGGACTTTTTTTTACCGTGCTTAAAAGAAAGTTAACAATAGCTGCAGTACAATGAGCTTAGCCAGAATTGATTGATTAGATTAAATTCCTAGTAATCAGCAATAAATTGAGAGGACAAGGAGGCTTCATGAGTCTCTTCATTCCCCAGACCATAGCTTCAAACACTTGGACTGTATATGGACCAGACTGGATAAACTGTCTTTTTTCCAAAGGAGTTTTTTTTTTTTTTTTGCTGTACTTTAACTAGACTATAAAAGGTTGTACAGTGAAAGACAAGGGACATGGTAGATGAGGGAAAAGCTGTTGATGTAGTCTACCTAGACTTCAGCAAAGCTTTTGACACGGTCTCTCACAGGCTTCTTCTGGGGAAACTGGCTGCCCGTGGCCTGGACAGGTCTGCCCTGCTTTGTGTGAGGAACTGGCTGAGGGCTGTGCCCAATGAGTAATGAATGGTCAATGGAGTTCAGTCCAGCTGGAGACCGTTTCAAGTGGCGTCGTCCCGGAGTTGGTACTGTGGTACTGGGGCCCATCTTGTTTAATATCTTTACTGATGACCTAGATGAGGGGATCCTCAGTAGTTCTGCAGATTACACCAAGTTGGGAGGTGGTGTCAATCTGCCTGAGGGTAGGGAGGCCCTTCAGAGGGATCTGGATAAGCTGGATCGCTGGGCTGAGGTGAATGGGATGGCCTTCAACAAGGCCAAGTGCTGGGTCCTGCATTTTGGCCACAACAACCCCATGCAGTGCTATAGGCTTTGGGGCTGAGTGGCTGTGAGTGTGAAGAGGAAGGGAAATGTGAGTGTTGGTTGATGCTTGGCTGAACGTGAGCCAGCAGTGTGCCCAGGTGGCCAAGAGGGCCAGCAGCATCCTGGCCTGCATTAGAAACAGTGTGGCCAGGAGGAGCAGGGAGGTGAGCATCCTCTGTACTCAGCTCTGGTGAGGCTGCACCTTGAGTACTGAGTTCAGTTTTGGGTCCCTCACTACAAAAAAGACATTGAGGCCCTGGAGCATGTCCAGAGAAGGGCAACAAAGCTGGTGAGGGGTCTGGAGCACAGGGCTGATGAGGAGCAGCTGAGGGAGCTGGAGTGGTTCAGTCTGGAGAAGAGGAACTCAGGGGAGACCTCACTGCACCCTGCAACTTCCTGAAGGGAGGCTGTGGTGAGGAGGGTTTGGCCTCTTTTCCCAGGAAACAAACAGGACCCAAGGAAATGGCCGCAAGTTGTACCAGAGGAGGTTTAGGTTGGACATAAGGAAGAACAACTTCTCTCACAGAGTGGTCAGGCAGTGCAGTGGCTGCACAGGGAGGTGGTGCAGTCGCCGTTCCTGGCAGCGTTCAAGAGGCGCCTGGGCGAGGAGCTGCGAGATGTGGTTTAGTGCTTGTGGTAGCAGTGATGATGGGAGGATGGCTGGACTGGATGATCTTGCAGGTCATTTCCAACCTTGAGATTCTATGATTCTAAGAAAACTGTCAAGAACTGACTATTATGGTGTCACTATAGCAGTGTTTAAAATTTATTGCTTCTTTCTTCCATTTAACGTATGCTTTAGTTTTGCCCTTCTAACAATACACACTTTCAAGAAATTCTTGGCAGATAAACTGTTGGGATACAGAGGGGAAAATTTTATTGATTAACTTTCAGCTCTGGGAGGTTGTTTGGCAAAACTGCTTTTGTGCCGTCCAAGCAGTGATATAAAAACAGTAATGTTTGCTCAAGGTACACAAATTTAAAAGTAAGTGACGCTTTGTCAAATCCAGGTTACGTTTGAATGTTTGCAGTGCAATTTCTGCTATCAATACAGACATTTGCAATCAAACTTCTCTTGCAGAACTTTGAAGGGGTTTTAGTTTGTAAGGGCTCCTACTTGGGGTTTATATGAAACTGAAATTGCTATCACTGTGAAAGACTTGCCAGCCACGGTAGTGCATGAGCAATGGGGACTGTGATAATATGCTGCTATGTTGCATGACGTGTAAAGATGTAGCACTGTGTGCTACAGACATGACCTGCACGGACTGAAGATGCGCAGAGCGTTGGGTCTGAGGTGGATGGGCATTCTGACAAAGGCCTGACAGCTCGTTGTAGGGCTAAGCAAATCTACTGCTAAAGAACAGTTAAACTTCCTAGATTCAGATCTCTGTTGTATGTTAGAAGTTAACAGCTTATAAATGGCTTTAGAAGGGGGGAAGAAAAGTATATCCTCTATATGAAAAAAATAAAATCCTCTAGTGCAATTTTGTTAGTGGCTTTCAGTAAATCAAACTCCACAGCTAAATTATTAGAGAATGGTACAATTATAAGTGTTCAGATTTTATTGATATAGCACATAATTCACGTGTATCCACACAGTAACAATGTAACATTTATGTAAATAAATGCCTTTATTGTATTGATTCATAAAATAACAATTCTTCTAATTTGTTTACAGTCCTGGAAGAACTATGAACACAAGCTTAATATGCAAATAGTTTGCCAAAACAGGATGAAAATGTAGAATTAGCAATCTTGAAATAGAATCGTTGGAAAATATGAAGACTTGTGCAATTAACCACATTTTTTTACTCTTGACTGTGTAGGAGCTGCAGTGGAATCATGATCCCTGAACTGTTAGGTCTGTTGAAGGGTTACAAGGCTAGACTTAAATTAAGGAACAGAGCAGTGACTTGTGCCATGTTTTTCAGCTGCTATGCATTTGTAATTTTGGGAGTCACTGATTTAAAAACCTTTTTCATCTCGTACATCAAATTGCTCATAGCTTCGGTATCGCTGTCGGTTTGCACCTGATTATACTGAACCAAGCTACTTCCAGCCCTTTCTGTTTTGCTGAAGACAATGAATTGTAGAAGCCTTTAGAGTTATTCCCTCCATAGGTGGGAGGAAAAAAGAATCTCTTGTGATTTACTGATTCAAAAAGATAATGTTCAGTTGTTTCTCTGTGAGAAAATTTTCTTTAAAAATAATTCCAGATGAACTGCCAGCTCTGCTCTGTTTGGACCGAGTGCATTTGAGAGCAACTCTTCTAATATTTTGCATTGCCTCAATAGAAAATGCATCATGAAAGAAGAACTGATGCATTCTTACAGCTGTGAGTATGGTGAAACCAAAATTACCTTTTCAGTGAGAACCAGAATTACTGTAAGCTCTCAGTCCTGACTGAAACAAATGATACATTGATAAAGCAAGTCAGCAAAATTTAATTTGTTCTATTTCTTGGCAAGGAGTCATTGAACGTTTTCACTCTGTAGTTCAGAGAGGTGACCCGAACTTTCAGAGCAGGGGTGTCAAACATTTTAGGAAAAAAGAGCCGAACTTGAGTGTAACTGTAGACACAGAACCGTGGAAAGGTTTGGACAGAAGGGGCCTTAAAGCTCACGTTGCAGCCTCTGCCAGCACCTCCCAGCAGCACAGGCTGCCCAGGGCCCACCAGCCCTGCCTGCAGCACCTCCAGGCACGGAACACCCCCAGCTGCTCCGGGCAGCCTGTGCCAAGGCCTCACCACCCTCACCGTGAGCAGTTTTTTCCTTTTACCTGCTCTAAGTCTATCCTTTTAGTTTGAAGCCCTCGCGCTCCCTGACAGCCCTTTCCTGCAGCCCCCGAGGACCGCAGTGAGGTCTTCCAGAGCCTTCTCCAGGCTGAACAGCCCAACTCCCTCAGCCTGTCTCCATAGGAGAGCTGCTTCAGCCCTCTGAGCATCCTCCTGGCCTCTTCTGGACTTGCTCCAGCAGGTCCATATCTGCCTTCGGGGAGCCCAGACATGAATGCAGTACTCTAGGTGGCCACAGTCTACAGCAAAGATGTAATTCAGGGCTGTGTTTGTCCCGGTACACAGCAGCACCAGGGTTTAGGACGTTTGTGCTTAGATCAAGGGGGAAAACGCCTTCCTTTCATTCGTAAACTTTGATTAGTATATGGTTGGTCAGTGCCTTACTGTCATCCATCACCATGAGAACCTGCTCCCTGTAATAGCCGTTGCTATTGCTTCACTTTTTTGTTTTCTTTCTCACATCCTTCCTTATTTGCTCCCTTTTCCTGTTTTGCATATTCTGTGTCCTGCTCTGTTTCGTTCCTGTGAGCACCGCTCTCCGTTTCTAATCCAGCCTCTGTCCCTCTCCTCATCCTGTCATTCCATTGATGCTAGTGAGCAGCAGTCAGTTGCTGGTGACAGTGCTTCAAGATCAGGCTTGAAACCTGATGTAAGTGGGAGACTCCCAGGTTCAGACCTTCCAGCCACTGTTTCAGGCGGCGCTCAGCACCGCACGGGCTGCCCTCCCCATGGTCTGAGGATCAGCTCTGCAGCCGTGCAGTCTGTGTACTTCAGAATGAAAACTTAAATTCAGAAAAATCTGATTGTAACACGTGGACCACGTAGCGACACTGTGGGGACTGTATGTTTGACACCCCTGTTTCAGAACACGCCATCCATTACGTACTAACTACAGTTAAGTACTGTAAAGATGATTAACATTTTGTGTTTGTATTTTCCCTGACTTAAAGATAATTCAGTAGTATTTGAATAGTACATAACCTACCTGTTAATTATGCCAATGTTTCTGCTTTAATGTGCATGAAGTTTCCAGGAATAGGAAACCTTTCAAATAAGTATTGTGGACTGAGCACTTGGGAGCATTCCAGTGCTCTCTTCCTAAATGGGTTGTAGGTTTTAGGGCTTTTTCTGTTTCATCCTAAGTTTAATTTTTACAAATGTAATGAAGCACGTCTTACTGTTATGCAACAAACTTACCACAGAAAGTCACTTTTAGTGTTGGTCCCACCATTTTTTTTAATGCAGTATATTCACCTGTAAATATTTTTTGTGTAAAATTTGACAGAAAAGTATATTTACTACACTGTAAATACATGTGACAATATATTGTATTATTTTGCTTTTTTTGTAAAGCAGTTAGTTGCTGTATATGTATAACATACAAATTTGACTATTCTAGTGTTAGTAATTGTTAACTACTACTTCTCCTTCCTGCTGTTGCGTTACGTCATTTAAAAACAAAGCTGTGTACTATAAACTTACACTGTGTATGATATCTTACTCTTTCCACTCGGGCCTCACCTTTGAAAATGTTCCCTCGATACAAACAGTCCTGTTCCTGTGCTCAGCAAGTGTGGCAGGGCGGGCAGAGCCCTGCAGCCTCAGACACAGCTGGTAAGCTTAGGCAGAAGTGGTAGAAGCCTGGTTTCAGGTAACTGTTGTTCCTCCCATCTGCTCCTCATGTACTTTGCCTTTTTTTGAAGTAAAATGTAAATTCAACCTGCTTCAAGTTGTTTGAAGGTCATTCACTTACGGGAGTTGGTATATTCTGAAATCCTTTTCCTGTTTCTTGGGACACAGATTTGGATGGGTTTGAAACTGAGAGTTGAAAAGCTGTTTGTCCTAGGGAAAATGAGAACCAATTGCCTTGGGATTTGTCTTTCCAGACAAACGTGCTTCTATGTGGGTGAGAACTTGCACAGTTTTGAATAGTAGCAGAAGTGTCTGTGGGTAACTGAGGACAGAACGTGGACAGAATAAAGCAAGCTCCTTGTCATGGATTTCATGTCACTTCAGTAAGGTTATTATAATTGAAAGACTCAGACTTTTTAATGTAAATTCAGTATTTTAATAAAACAGCTGCTTGGCCTTTAAAGAACACATCAGTATAATTTGTCCATTTGGGCTTTTCTCGCTTAAAAGCTTCAAGTTTCAACTGTAAGGCAACCTTTATGACAAAAAAGAAATATTTCTCTTTTATGGGGATACTTTTCCACTAAAAATGTATAAGTACTTATATGCTGCCTTTATGAATAATTAGTTGAGTATCTTCTATAGGAGTACGTTTTCTTTACTTTAGAGGAAATGTTCATTAATCTGTATCAGAAATAGCAGCACTGTGTGTAAAGAGGAGCCCTAAGAGAGGTATTTTCTGCAGCCGTGCTAAGTGACTGCTGCTAAAAATGCTGACATTCTTCTTTTGGACAGTTGACCTTCCCTGTTACTTGTGGTACAGAATGAAAGGGGAGTTATTTTAGCTCAGCCTTTATGCAGTTGAACAATTCTACACAAGGGAAAAAAGTGGCATCCTCAGAGCAACCACTTCTCCATTTGGAAACAGCTTCAGAATCCCTGCTCGGCTGGCACCAATGTGCCAGAATATTTTACAAAGAAAAAAAAAGTCTAAATTCGGAATTTCTTTGATGAAAGGGTACAAATTTTGTTCTAGAGGTAAATAAGGGTAAAACTGTACAAAAAGGAAAACTGCAATTGTTTAAACTGCTGTAAACCCCTGAATAAGACTGACCTGTAGTAAGAGTAGATAATTCCTAAATACTAAGTTGTCTCTGGCCAGCATAAATATTTCCAAATACCTCTGACTGGGATAACAAGTCTTTTCAATATTCACACTTCAGACAGCCCAGATGTTTCATAAAAAATTGCAGTTCTCTGTAACGATGTCAGACTTTCTTATGAACCCTAAAAAACAACAAAAATTGCACAGGTGTAACAACTGAAAGCCCTTTTCAGAAGCTGGTGGGGTGCCAGCACTGAGGGCAACTTTGGCACAAATACTGAGCTGAATCTGACACCTCTGAACGGCAACATCACTGTGAGGATCAGCCTCATCTCAGGCTGCTTCACAGCTGTGTGCAGCTGGTTTAAGGAAGCACAGCAGATAAAAGCAAAGTGGCCGTTCTGTTTATCACAGTGCACTGCTTCGAGGGCCAGGGGAGAGATGTCCTGGACTTTGCCCCACTTTGCTGACCCCAGGGTGGCTCAGAGCCATTAGTTAAAGTGACCAAATGCTGTCATGGGCAAACTGCTACATCTAAGAAACACCCATTGCATGAAATGTTGTAAATCTGCCGCTCAGCATCCTACCAGAGCACTGAGTTCTACTGCAAGTTGGTCACTTCTGTGATCATCAAATGCTTATTTTGCTTTCCTCCCTTTAAGCCCATCTGGATTGATAAAGTAGGCAGAAAACACATTAACCTGAGTAAGTATATCATGCTCAGGCACAGTGCCATGGAACTAAGAACTAAAACTCTTCTTGCTGTGAAGAGTGCTACTGACTATTCCCTATCAAAGCAATGATGTTCTGTTTCTGCCAGTAGAATTTAAGATTTGTGTGTGAATTCTAAACACCTTGGAACATTAGTTTCTTCACTGGTATTATTAACAAGTTCTCAGGTGACAATAAATCGCAGGGTTGTGTGGGTGGAGAACGTAGAATAAAGCCTCCCATGATGTAACTTGTTCAAACAAGTACAACTTTGCTGCTCAACGCAACGATGAAGTTCGACAGCTGCATCTCAAGGTAATGATGGCATTATAGTGATGACTAGATGACTAACTCTGTGTTTAAGAAACTCCCACTGAACTATTAAACTGTTGGGTTTTTTTTCATAGCACACTGTCCTTTAGAAAAATGAAAAAAGATCTGCTCTGCAGCTTCTGCTCCTGACTAGTATGCTCAGACAACAAATTCTGTGCAGAGTTGGATGCTCAGCAGAATGGCTTTGTTGAGCTGTACAAGAATTGCTCACCCAGACCGTGGCGTTAAAGACGCAGGTAAGTGAAGTGACTGTGTCCTGAAGAGGCAGAGCAGAGACAGGCCTGACTGGGGCTGAGTTTCCCAAGCCCTTGTTTATTAATTCAGTACTTGTGGTTCAGATAAGATGCTAGGTGAGGGTCGCAGTGACTGCCTCTGCCTCCTCACCTGTCCTGGGCTCTGTTCTGCCTTAATTTGCACTCTGAGAAGTGCATTCACTTGCTGCCTGTGTCCTCCTGCTCCCTGCAGTATCAGCCAGGGTTCTTTCCCCTTTTTACTGGTTCTTCCAGCTCTTCTCACAGTGAGAGCACGTGCAGAGGTCTACAGCGTGTGAGACCACCCAACTGTCTACAGACAGACGTGACTGAACGTGGCCCAGAGTGGCAGAGAGCCAAAGGGGAGCCTGCTTCAGAGCAATGCAAAGCACACAGAGGAGTAAAGGCCTCAGCGTACAAACACAGGTGAGGCCAGGCGCTGGCAGGGGCAGGACAACAAAACAAGGGAAGAAACTTACATGTTTGCTCTGAACATTTGGCTGCTGAGCTCCTGTGACCCCACAGCTCAAATGTTTATCATTACACGCGCTCTCGTGACCTTCGGTAAAGGAAACATCTCACGATCAGGCGCCGCAAATGCGCGCAGCGCCCACCTGCCCGCGCACAGCACGGCGCGCAGCGCTGCCCGGCCGCCACCCCAAAGCTTTTCCTCGCGGCGCGCCGTCAGCTCCGTGCCGCGCAGCGCTGTGAGGATCGCCGCCACTTCACGCTGAAACGAAGGCGAAGCGCCCACGGCCCGGAGCGCGGCGTTCCCCGCCCCGACGCCCCTTTCCGCCCGCCTCAGCCCAGCACCCAGAGGCAGCGGTCGCGCTCCGCCGGCTCGTGCTACCGGAACTTCCCCTCGGCAGCGAGGAGCAGCGTGGCCGATGGCTCCGACCGGGAGCCGCACCGCGAGACGTCGGGAGGAGCGCCGCAGCAGCGAATGGCGGCGGGCGGGGGCGAGGCCGCAATCCTCCTCGTGCCGGGGCGGTCGGGGCGCTCCTCGGGCGCCAGCGGGACGCGGTGAGCATGCGCGGCGCGCGGGCGGGGCGGTCCCGGCGCCGCTCTCGCGAGAGGGGCGTGGCGCACGGGCGGGGCGCGGTGCCGTGCATGTCCCAGCGCGGCGGCCCGGCCGGGCGGCACGTGGGTCGGCGCGGGCGGGGGGCGGCGGGTGGGACCGGGACCGGCTTGGGCACCGGCGCCGGGAGGGGCAGCGCCGCGCCGGACCGTCCGTAAGTACCGCGTGCGGCCGGGCCCGGAACCCTTCATCCTCGCGGCCCTCCGTCCCGGGCTGTCAGCCCTCGGCCGCGGGCCCGGAGTTTCTGCCGCTCCGCTCAGCCGGTGCCGGGGGTTCTGTGCCCGCCTCGCGCGCGGCCGTTTGTTGCGCTCTGGGGGCCGCAGAGGGTCCTGCACGGCCGCGCCGAGCCCAAGGTCAGTGCCGTCGGCCCGGCCTGGAGGTCACCCGGCGACACCGAGCGGGACGGGGGGAGCCGCTCGGGGCCGCTCCGCACGGCGGCTGCTGTCCGCGGTGCCACTGTGTGCTGCGGGATCGCGGCGTGGCCGAGGCCATTCTGCTGCGTGTGAGGCGACGGGGCCTGGCCGTGCTGCGGGCGTTCCCGATGGGAGCTGCCGCCGACCGCCGCCCGGTGCGACGCGTGCTTTTGCTCGTCCGTTCGTTTGTTTGCTTGCACGCCGCACGGACCGCACGTGAGAGCGCAGCGGTTGCGTTCCGGTGCGTCGCTGCTAGCGGAGCTGCACTCGAACGTCCCGCTCTCCTGGGGCTCCTGCGCTGCTCCCCCATCCCTTAACGAAGGAAGGTCCCATTTACCGGGCAGGGCTTTGCCGCCTTCCTGAGCTCTGTGATGTCTCGACGCGGAGCTGGGAGCCCGGCGCGGTGCGGGCGTCCTGGGGAGGCGTTCCGTTGCGGTAGGAACCGAGCGGAGCTGCGGTCCGCCTGTCGGGGCAGGCGGCGAGGTGCGCGGTGTTTCCAGCGCCGCGCGCTGCCTTGCTGAGGCCGGCGGCTGCGCGCGCGCCCTGGAGCGTTATCAGAGCCGCTGTGGACTTTGAGTTGAAAGGAAATGGCTCGTTGCTGGGGAAAGTTATAGCGAGAGAAGCTAACTTTATTTTTCTCGTGTTTACTTTGTCTGTGAATGATCTACTGAGCATGTGCCGGGAGGGAGGCCGGGCCGGGAGCCGTGGAGCTGCGCTGGGCTCCGCCCGCCCCTCTGCCGGAGCTCCCCGTGGGACGCAGTTCGGCGCTGAGCCTCCGTTGTCTCTAATGAGCTTCCTGGGTGCCGGATGAAGCAGTGCCGTGCCTGGCATCGGCTGATGTCTGTCTGTGATTCCTTCGGCATGAAGGTAGCGCGGCTTCTCTCTGCGCACCTTCATTTCACAGCTTCGTTCTTGTTTGATTGGTTTGCTTGCATGCACTGCCTACTGCGCAGAAGGAAACTCGAGTTTTAGTAAGTGAAAGGGAATACAAAACCTGTAGACTCAAATTGTGCTTGATGCTCCATAGAAGCTGCCTTAATGCTTCACTTGCAGAGCCTGTGCTGCTCACCTGGCACCTGCTGCTTGCAGTGGTTTGTGGAGCTCTTGAAGGACTCCCAACAGCTCTCATGAGGCTCTGTGCCATGGGGCTACGGGCTGATGGCTGTCAGATGTGAAACAGCTAATGTTGGTGGGGGTCTGT